GGGATCTGTTCCTCTGCTTGTGATCGAGGTGTTTTGTTCAACGGACAGTGCGTTGTGCCGAGCGTGTGCTCGTGACCGAGTAGCGTATATAGGCATAACTGAGAAAGAGGACTTCTTAAGCAAGAGTACTCAGATGTTTCTAGGAGAGGTCTTGCTGTGTCTGTTGAGTAGGAAACCGCCCCAGATCTATGTCCACATAGCTTCCCCGTGTACCGCTGGATGTAGCTACCGCTTTAAGAATTGGCATCGACCGAAGTTTCGACATCGGTGGCGAGAGCAGGTCAAGAAGCATGTTGCATCTTGGAAAGCTTTAGGAAGACTTCTGGAGGACCGCTGCAAAGAGATCCTGGTTACCCAGGAATGGCCAAAGAACTGTGGTCTTTGGAAGGAGGAAAGTTATCTGAGAGAAAAGAAGCGCCTTGGTCTGAACTTTGGAAGGGTTGTGGACCGTTGTGCCTTCGACGGGGTCTTTAAGCGGTGGTTCTTTGCTACCAACCGAGAGGAGTGGAGTGAAATCTTCTCTGGAAAGCCCTGTGACAAAAGTCATCAGCATGTTTCACTTGCTAGTGTCGAAGAAACGGGTATCTATCCGACTAGACTGGGTAGAGCTCTTTTGCGTGCTGCGAAAGTCACGTTAGGTCTTGTAGGAACACCTTCTTAGGTCGGCAGTAGGAGTGCTCGCTTTCGGACTTTGCCTGGGATGAGATGTTTAAGCACTGGAAACACCGAGCTGTGAAGAAGTGCGTGGCTCTGAGGCATTACAGTCCAAGCGGGGGTGTGAAAGTTCCTGTCTGGCTCAAGGTTTCGGCTCAACCCCGGTGGGGTGCTCAGGTAGAGAGCGTCTTTAGTGCCGTTGTGGCTGGCCCTGGGGCTTGTAACTAAGGGTAGGTTCCGTTTTGAGGCCCTGGCAAAACTGTGTTTGCTCGTAGGCCGGCTGACCGGCTAAGCTGTCATAGAGCGGCGGCCCGCCAACTGCTGCCGTCGACGAAGGGCGTGAGTGCACAGTTTTCGGCCTCGCTTCGCTGGAGGGAAGCTTTTCGTCCTCGCGTTGCTGAGGGAACCTTGTGACCTACAGTCTGCTCTGGGTCACAGTGTGAGTTGCAGCCTCGCTTTGCTTGAGGGGTGACGCTAGCCTGTTGCTCACCAGAGATTCCTGCTGTCTCTGGGTGAGCAAAACCCACCGACCCTCATTTGGATTGAGGGCTGTGCTGAAGGTGAGTTTGGGTTCCTCGCTCACTTGTGTGGAAAACGAAGGTGAGACCGAAACACGGGGGAAAACGGCCAGGCACGCTGCAGACAGTGCAGGCCAACGTCGCACTGCAAGCGGCATCCTTGCAGTGGCGACAGGAGTGTCCCGAACAATTGCGGTGTGCTCGAGCCCAAGCTTGCAGGTGTTCGGGGATCTGCAAGCTGAGCACAACAGGATTTTCTTCGCAGGTAGAATCAGGTAGAAAAGATTTGGCCCAACCCTGGTGGATCTGCCTGGACACAAATAACCAGAGGCATCAGTGTCGTAAAGCTCATTGACTGGTGCTACTGAGAAACCGTTGCCAAAGAACTTGCAGTAGGACTGTGGTGCGGCGCAGTGCAAGTTGACGAGCAGCTGTTGGTGGCTGCTCCCCGGAAAACCAATAGTCCAAGAAGCCTCCTTCGGCCTCGCTCCGTGCTGAGGGTTTGTAAGGGTTGGTATTGGCCGGAAAGGATTCAGGTGGAGGTTACCCGATCTTCGCGCTTTTCCCATCTGAAGGCAACCAATGGTAATCAGCCTGCTGGACATGGCAGGCCTGCTTTTGTTTACATCCACGTCTCCTGCAAGGGCTGGGGTCTGTCCGTGCACACAGACAAGGCGAAACCTTGCAGATGTTTAGGTCCTCGCGGCACGGCCGCTGGAGGTTGTTTGAAGATGTTGGCTCTCACTATCTGGTGAGTGGTTTGTATGGGCACTTGCTGGGGCAAGGCGGCTCTGGCGTCTGAGGATGGTACATGTGCTGGCTGCTGAGTACGGGCCACCGAAAGAGACCTGTGGTAAGACAAGCGATGAAAGGAGCCGAACTCCTAAACTCTAGGACAGGCTAGCTCACGCGGACGCCACGCAGAGTATGTGTCACTATCTTCAGATGTTGGAGCCAAATTGCCTAGCCGTGTGACGTGAGATGTGGTGTTTGGATTCGGCCTCAAGCACTGGAGGGCCTACAACAACAAATCCGAATGAAAACTGTGGTCCTAAGACACGCGGAGCAGCTGCTTATACGTGGCACCGCGGGGGTCACATAGAGATAGAGGGCTTGCCAGCAAGGGAACTCTGTCTAGAGAGAGCCCTGGCTCAGTGAGGAGCTGAGGGCCTGGCTGCGCAGATGCAGCGGAATGGTTGTTCGGCCTCGCCTCCGCTGAGGGAACAACAGTCAATGCTTCTCTGCAGTATCGGTCCGGGTTAGTAAGAGCGAGAACGCCGGGACCTCGAGCTGCAGTTTTACCATGAAGCAACCGCGTGAGATGCATTATTGGTCAACTGGTGAGTAAGAGCGAGAAAGCCAGGGTGACGCTACTTTGGGGGAGGCTGCAAGGCACGGTTAGTAAGTGCGAGAAAGCCGGAGCTGCGGACGAACCTGGAGTAGCAGTCTTTCATACCTCACGTGTTTCACTTTGCGGCCTCGCATGCGCTGAGGAAATATGCCCCGAACAGAACATCCAGTGCTGAGTGAGGATTGCCAAACTTACGGAGGCTGATGCCACAACAAGTGCCTCAACAGCAATGCATGCGGAGGGCAAAGTTCGGCCTCGCGAGTGCTGAGGGTTGCAGCTGAGAGAGGGCCTAGCTGAGAACGCAACACCTCAAGCGAGGTAATTTTTAGTTTAGTTTCACCTTGACCAACGGCCCCTTCGGGTGGCTACGCCTCGCAGCGTGCAGAAGAAAGTTCCTGTCTAAGGACATGTTAACTTTGTTGTCCTGCATGCTGGCTCAGAGTTGTGTGTGTGTAGTTGTAGGAACTCCGTAGTTGTGCCTTGGAGGCTCGACGGGAGTGCTGCTTTAAGTGGGAAAGCCTTTTGAAGTGCTTGAGTTGTAGGGATGTGTGTCTGGAAGCTGTAGAAGTGACTGTGCACGTTTTTGCTTGCTTTAGGTATAGTTGGGTAGGTCCCGAGAACTCCCACTGACGTTTGAGTTTGTTTTGTGGCTGTGGAGAACACGTGGCAGAGCAGAGTTTTCACCTGTGTGTAAAGAGTTTCACTGACGAAGCCTCCGGCTTATGACTTTGGCTCAAGTCGTGAGAAAAAGAGGGTTCAGCGCTGCTGCTGCTGTGTTTTCACAAAGACCGGCCTACTGTGCTACTGATGTAGTAAAGAGGCGTCAGTCCAAAAAAAAAAATTCCACATGGACCAGGCGCAAAGCTGCAGGACGGAAACAAGGCAGGGCCCGTGAAGACAGCTTGGGTTGGTGCAGGGCTAAAGAACACACAATGAACAGCTTGGGTTGGGCAGAGCGCCACGGAAACAGGGCTGGTGTAGGCGGATAGCTTGGCTTCGGCGCGAAGGAAATGCCGGGCCAGGTCAGAACCAGGCACAAAGTTGCAGCAAACAAAAGCAAGGTAGGACAGATTTGATTGGCCGAAAGCCAGAGAGAGCACCCCAAAACACAAACCGCTGCGCGGAGTTGGCTTGGTGCAAGGGGGCAGATAACTTGAACAGGCCAGAGGCCAGGGCCAGGCCAGAGCCAGGGCCAGAAGGCCGGGCCACAGGGTTGGGCCAGGGGGCAGGGCCAGAGCCAGGGCCAGGGCCAGAGCCAGAACCAGAACAAAAAAGGAATTTTTGGCAAGAGCCTTGCCTGCTTCAACAAAACGGCTCCTGGTCTTGCAGCCCAGCGGGCGGAGTTGGGGACCCAGGGGTCTCAGGGGTCTTCCCAGGGGCAGAAGCCAAGATCACTGTAATATAATACAGTGACACGGCCTGTGCCTGCTTGGAGGGTAAGCCTGAGCGCTCGACCAGCGCCCGCCTACCCCAAAAGACAAGAGAGGCGGGCGGGATTCGGGTTTAGGGTTTAGGGTTTAGGGTGTAGGGTTTAGGGTTTAGGGTTTGAGGTTTAAGGTCAGGGTTTCGGGTTAGGGTTTCGGGTTTAGGGTTTCGGGTTTAGGTTTTCTTGGGTTCTGTCAACGTGCGCATTTGATGCTGAGGGCAAGAACAAGATTTCAACCTTGCATTCAAAAAAGCACCATGTAACGCACCCAGCGTCGGTTTACTAAAGGCACGCATGAAAAATCAAAGGTTGGACTTTGCTGCTCACTGGAAGTTCAGCAGAAACTTAGCACGCTGCCTGCAACTCTACAACCGGGAAGGCAATCTTCTGCCAACGTTGGGCTCATTGCCAACTTTATGCTGTCCTTTCGTTTTGCATCCCCTTTCGAAGATTTCAGGGGCGCTCGTGACCAAAGGGCTTTCCATTTTTCGAAGCAGCGCCACAGGAATCATGTAAAACGATTCAGGCACCACCGCAAAAGATTTGGGGGGGGGGTCTGGTTTTGTGGACTGTAGGTCATTATGGCTTTATCGTGTTTGGGCTTGGGTTTTGCGGTGCAAGGTGTCCATTCTGGGAGCCACCAAGGCCAACATATCCTCTGTTCCGACGACCCGACCTGGCCCCTCTTTTGGATGGTCTTGGAGGGGAAGCAGGGATTTTTTTATTGCTACAATTATTTTTGTGTTTAATACCATGATCATTCATGATATTGTTATGAATGGTATTCTAAGTCATACGATTTGTACTATTGTCATTCATGCCATATTTGGTAATACTGTTCTATCCACCGAATCCCTATGCTGCATCTTCATCCCCCAAGGCAACTTGTCGTGTCAGCCGTGAGATGGTTCATAAACACACCGAACCAGGCAAGCAGACGGCCACACACTGCCACTGAAGGTTAAAACCTAGGCCCAGAATCTGAGCTTTCCGGAAGCTTCCCTCAAACCTCCCTTGCCGGCTGCGTTGCCCTGCATCTTGGATTCCGCCCATGACTGCGCGGAGCTACTTTCGCGAGGAAGTTTGGCCCGAGGGTTTGGGGGGGGCTTATGGGGTTTTTGCAAGGATTCATCGGATTTTTCGGGGTTCAGTAGACCTCGAACATGGATTCGGACAGAATTCTGTGCGGCAATTTCCAGTTGTCGCGGGGGCACTTGCGTTTTCCCTTGTGGGCCCGGTGAAAAAGTGATCCTTTCCGACTGTTGCGAGCCAGAGCAGATGCCCCTGAAGATTTTTAAAGGCTCCGTTGAGAGAAGGTGTTTTTGGAGGTGCCTGGGGAAAAATCGAAGAGCCTCTTCGTGCTTTTTCTGCAGGATGTGCTCGCTGGGCGAGTGGCTTTGATCACCGGGGGTGGCAGCGGCATTGGCTACGAGGCAGACTCGAAGGGTTCAGCTGTGGGGGCATGCTCCAAGCCACTCTAAAAAAAACCTGAAACCCCCAAACCCCTTAACCGCGAAGCCCCCAAACCCCTGAAGCCTATAAAACCCCCTACGTAAGTCCGTCCCCCCAACAGGTTTGGAGGGTTTTTGTAGATGGTTTGGTCGGGTTTGGTAGATGGGCTTGAAGGGTTTTATACGGCTTAGGGTCCGTAGCCGTTGTTTTCGGGCTCAGGGTTTCCTGAAATTCAACATCAGGGTGTCGCCCCAATCAGTGCCGCCCCACCTTTCCCGGAGGTGGCCCGCCAGTTCGGTCTCCACGGTTGCGCGGGCGTCGTCTTGGTGGGGCGGAGGCAGCTTCCTTGGGCCATAGGGTTTATGGTTTAGGGTTTAGGGTTTAGGGTTTAGGGTTTAGGGTTTAGGGTCCAACACTTCCATACCCCCCCGGCACACCCTAAGTAGTAGGAGTGGTGTTTCTCTAGTCTCAGGTTTCCAGGAAAACCTACTCACCTCAATTCCGGAAGGCCGGAGTTCCTGCAGCAGGCCGCCGCGCTGCTGGCCAAGGAAGGTGCCCCTGAAGAGCCAAAAGTCTGGACAAGTTGTTACGCTTGGTTTGCGAGCAATCCTCAAGAAGTTCCCGAAAACCCTCCGAGCTTTTGCAAAGCCCCAACACACCCGGAAAATTGCTTGGAGGACGTGATGTTTCGGCAGGTGTCTTCTTTCAGCTCTCGATTTCTTGAGAGGATTTGGGATTTGGGTGCTCTGGGGGGCGAATGAACAGGCATCAGGCTGTTGAGGGAAGACGCCGTGGAACCGAGGAATCAAAGCGGCAGTGGCCGCAGGAGATGTCCGAAAACCGGATTCTCGGCAAGCAGTCCCTCAGTCCCTCGCACCCGCTTTGAGGGACGTGTGAGACATTCCCGGGCAGCCTCTGCTATAATTGAGGTGTTGCGCACACATGCCATGCAGACCCCTCTCTCGTGGCGCGGCACCAAGGAAGACTGCGAATCGGCGGTGTGACCAGCCCGATCATTGAGAGGGATTCTGCGCAGTAGCGGTGTGCTGGTTGTTAGACTTAACCCCTAAACCCTAAACCCTAAACCCTAAACCCTAAACCCTAAACCCTAAACCCTAGTGTCGGTTCCGAAGACTTGTGTGCCTTCACCGAAGGGAAAGGATGGTGTGGGTTCAGGGCACCCAGGATCTTTCAAAGGTCGCCAGGGGATCCCCTAAACCCCCAAAACCCCTAAGCCCCAAAACCCCCAAAAACCCCCAAAAACCCCAAAAACCCCCCAAAACACCCAAAAACCCCCAAAACCCCAAAACCCTAAACCCCGAAAGCCCCAAAAAAGGAAAGTGGCAGTGGAGGCCTTCGGCGCGCTTGACATCCTGGTGAAGCTGGGCTCCGCAGGGAACGCCCCCAATGCCACCCCAAGCCCAAAAATCCTAAACATGAGGAAAGCTCGTTTTTTCGTAAGGGTTTAGGGTTTAGGGTTTAGGGCTTCGGGTTTAGAGTTTAGGGTTTGGGGTTTGGGGTTTAGGGTTTGGGGTTTAGGGTGCAGGGTAAGCCCCCCCAAATCTTCAAGAAGCGGCTTCAGGCCGCCGAAAATCGGTCAGAAGCTTCAGAGGTAGACCTTCCCCAAAAACAAAACCCTAAACCCTAAACCCTAAAAAGCCCTAAACCCTAAACCCTAAACCCTGAACCCTAAACCCTAAACCCTAAACCCTAAACCCTAAACCCTAAACCCTAAACCCTAAACCCTAAACCCTAAACCCTAAACCCTAAACCCTAAACCCTGAACAGAGGAATGCCGCGGCGGGGAACTTCCTGGCGGCGGCCGAGGAGATCTCCAGCAAGGGCTTCAAGACAGTCATGGACTCCCGGCCCGGGTTTAGGGTTTAGGGTTTAGGGTTTAGGGTTTAGGGTTTAGGGTTTAGGGTTCATGGTGCTTATGAGCCAGTTCTCACTGTACTTGTCACCCACTTAGAAGCCCCTCAAGTGCCCTAATATGGCTATCATAATTGGTGAATACGTACCATGAACCTCCAGTGAGGATTCCCTCTCAGGATTTGCCTCAGGATAGTCCTCGCAATTTGTCAGGATTTGGGGCTTGGGGTCAGGTGATGTCAGGTTGTTGGGGTCAGCTGTTTGTTGCAGTTCGATTCTTCGTTTTGCTTCATTCTGCTCACACAGGGGGGCTTTTGTGAACCGTTCCTCTTGGAAGAGATGCGAATTGGCGGTGGGCTAGTGGTGAGCTCTGAGTGTCGGATGCGTAAATCTCAGGAAATCGATACGCTCGGGACCTTCAACATGTGCCGCAGTGCCTTCGAGCCGCTGACACTCGCCAGAATTGCAGCTGTCCTCGTCTTTGCGCAGCGGACTCTCCCTCTCCCTCGCTCCCCCTACTCGCTCTTCCTCGCTCTCTCTCCCTTCCCCTTCCTCTCCGCCAATCGCTGCAATTGTCCGCCTAAAAAAAGCCCTGTTAGTTGAAGATACCCCAAGCCGGCTCGAGGAAATCCTCGCGCTTCGGCGGGGTGGTCGTTAGCATCACGGCGACTTTGCACTACACGGCCACGTGGTGCCTGCGTAGCGATCTTGCAGAGGTCTGCTGTGTTGGGTTTTTCAGTTGTTTTGCCAAAAAGCCCGAAACCCCAAAACCCCGCAACCCCAGAGCCCCTGTCAAAAAGGTATCAGGCTGCCCCCGTGGCAGCGAAAGCTGCCATCGACGCCCTCACCCGCACGCTGGCGCTGGAGTGGGGTGCCTCGGTAAGAAACAAGAGGCACGGCCTGGAGCTGTTGCTCCCCCTGAGACTAACAGTCCTTAAAAAAGGGATCGTCCCCTAGGACTGTTCAGTTTAATGGGGAGCCCCCCAAGCTCCCAAGGAATGTGCAGTTGCTTAGGAGAGCCCGACCCGAAGCTGACCCGAAGCTTGCCAGGATTGCGGGAGGATTTTGGGAGGTCCGTGTCAACCTTCTTTGTGGTCATGGGGGTGAGGTGGGTTTTGGGTGTCCTCCAAGAACTCTCTATCCGCTGGGGCTTGGGAATGTGGGGCTGCTGCGACAGTGGTTGGTAGTGCTTCCCGGCCCCTTTTTGGCAACCCAATTTCGGCAACCCAAGCCCCAAGAACCCCCCACAAAGGCCCCCCAAAAAAGGCCCCCCAAAAAGGGGCCCTTAAAAGCGAAGGTGAGTTCGGCGTGCGCCTGAACTGCGTGGCTCCCGGGCCCATTGCCGACACCCCCGGCATGGAGAAGCTGAGTGGTGGGAAGATGGACCAGGTGCCGAAAGTTTGGAGAGTTTCGTTCAAAAACAGTTCTGCCCAGAGGCCTCTCGAGACTCTGCGGGGTCATGCTGCATCCTTGCCAAGACCGCTTGAAACATGCAGAGAACGCCTTTCAGGGGTTCTGATTTTTATGGTCCCTTTCGGGAGAGACTGCGCTGTCGCAACATCTTGCTTCTGGGGGGTTTCCTGCAGCCCCCTCAGGAAATATCTGTAGTAAAAAAACTCAAACCCAAGGGACTACTGAGAATAATAGTTTTTTGAAGGTTCTCATGGAGTATAGCTTAAAGTTCACTCTTTGTGGAGGGAAAGCAGAGGGGGACCTCACACATGGCCTCAGGTGGACTGGGCCTACATCCCGGCAAGGCGAGCCGGCACCAAGCTAGCCCTTTGGACTCGGCTTTTGTGAGTTTTTTCTCTTGGGGGGGGGGAGATTGGTTAAGTGGATACTACGATGTTATAAGGGGATTTTGAGTGGATTTAAGCGTTTGCGGGGCGGTCTAGGGTTCGTGACTTAGAGGTCTTATGCCTGTGCGCCTCTGCCCTTGGAAGGAGATTGCCTCCGCTTGCATCTTCCTCTGCCTAAACGGCTACATCACGGGCCAGATCCTCCCGGTGGACGGCGGGGAATGGTGTCCTGTCCGAGAAGTGGTTCCGCTCTGCTAGGCCCGGGTAGTTCTTCTTATTGAACTCATCTACGCCCAAACTCCCCCCGCAGATCGGTCTGAGTTTATCTACTCTCCACAAGAAAAGGAGCAGAGCTTCTGTCTTTCGCCTCTCCTCCCAGGTTCGGCAAGAAGGCGCTGATCCCGCGTGAGCTGGTGTCCAAGATCTCCCGAGGGGTGGATGCCTGGCTTTTGCAAGAGAAACAAAGCTTAAACCCAAAACCCTAAACCCTAAACCCTAAACCCTAAACCCTAAACCCTAAACCCGAAACCCGAAACCCTACACTACGGGGAAAAGCCAAAGGGGGTGGCCCCCCGCCCCCCCCTTTCCTGGAGATTTTTTTCTCCGGCTCAGGAGAAGCAGTCGAGGGCCATGGGCCCGGGCACTGCAAAGCTTTGAGAGGCTGCGCTGCACCGAAAAGCGAGAATCCGTCCGCCTGTTCTGGGGTGTCGGAGAGAGAGAGAGAGAGAGAGAGAGAGGTTTCGTTGTGCTTTCGATTTCCCCGCCGTGTCTTTGCCAATCCTGTGGTGCTTTACCGCTTGCCTCGACTTGGGCTCATCAAGTTGTTTTTGTTTGACCTGGGACCCGTGGGCGCAGCATGGGGCAGCCAAGCAGAGGAATGGGTGGCATACGCTTCCTGGCCCCACATCTCTTATGACCAGCTTTGAAGCCAGCGTGTTTCGCCGGGCAGCTGTTGGTCAGAGACACTTCTTTGAGGTGCCAGGAGGTCACAGTAGAGCCCTGAAGAGCAAAACGGGGTTGAAGCCACCCTGAAGCCACCATGGAAGCCGCCCCCCCTTTCTCGTGTCTAAGAAGCAGAAAAGAAGGCTACTTCCGGACGTTCATCGATGTCGAGGAGGAGCCGATGTCCTTCCCCGCTCGAGCCCAGAGCTGCCCGCCGGCGAACGCCGAGAAGTTTGAAGAGGATCTCGATCTGGCCTCCCGGTTTGGACGCCCAGGGGGTGGCCTGAATTGAGGGGCCCGCGCTTGCAAGTGCTGTAGGGCTCTGCGAAGCGAGTAGATGATGAAGTAGATGAGTAGTGTATAGATGATGTAGCCAGCTGTCACGAACTCAGCCGCTTGACTTCGGCCAGTATATCGAAGTCGGCAACAAAGGCGGCCTACGTCTCGGAGCTGCCGGGACGGGCACAGGAGATGAAGTCGAAGTTGACTCCCCCGCCAAGCCCGTCGCCACCGCCACGCGCGCCACGCGCGAGTGTCCCAAGTTTGGGCAGCCGCGGACATCCCGATCTGTGCAGCCGGCCTTGCAGCTGGGCGGAGCTTTAGGAGCCTTCCATTTCGCAGAAGTTTTGTGTCATGAGTTCGGGGCGACGCGCAGTTCGTAATAACACCTCCGAGTAGCGTGAGTAGCAGCAACAGGTTCTTTGAGTTTCTTCAGAGCAGCACGACCCTACAGTAGATGATGTCTTTTCAAGAGTTGTACGTGTGATGATGCGTCTGATTTCTAGATGCAAGCTAGAGTGTCCAGTTGCGAGAAGTTGCGGTCGTTCTCTCGAGCCCTAGAGCACCTGAAAAACCACGCGGGGGAGGCATCTTCTTTCCATTCGGCTGCCATCTCGGGGATTCCTGCACTCACTGCCACGCCGACCACGCCGGCCGCTCCGCACGACTGGACAAGCGTCAGCGCCTGGCCCTGCAAGCGCTGGGCGAGCGCCTCCCGGCAGCGTTTCAGGGGAAGCTCGCAAAAGGGGGAGATCTCGGGCAGGACTCCAAGAAGCGAGAGTACACACACTTATTGCCCCCACAAGGCTTGTAACATCCGAAGCCCTCTTGTCTGCCAGAAAAGTTTCGGCCACGCTGAACAACGCTTGGGAGCACATGTGGAGAGAGCTCTACACTTCTTCCGGCCCTCTTCTGCATGGGCCCCCATGCCCCCCTGGAACCCTGAGCCCCAAACCCTGAACCCCAAACCCTAAACCCTAAACCCCAAAACCCCAAAACCCCAAAACCCCAAAACCCCAAAACCCCAAAACCCCAAAACCCCCAACCCTAAACCCTGCTTCATGATCGCTTTGCCCCCTGACCGAGGTGGCCTCCTGATGCTTCTCCTCCCCCACTTCCGCGACCGCGCCGCAGGGGCCAAAGTGGCACCGCACACCCAGGCCGCGCCCCACCCCCCCCGCCCCCCCCCAATCTTACAATCTTACACCCGTTTTATTATTCTTATATTACCCTCTTATTACCCCTCTTACCCTAACATGAACACTCTGCAGTGGTGGAGGCTTTGGGGGGGGGGGGGGGTCCCCGTGTGCAGGGCTTGATCCACATGCTCGAGGCGGCCTTGGCCGACATGGACCAGGACTTCTATATTTTTTGACGGCTGCAGTTCAAAGGAGCGAGAGAGACAGAGAGAGAGAGAGAGAGAGGCCCAACATGCCGTGTGCCCCTTCTTAAGAAGTTCTAAGCGCTGAGTTAGGACTGCCATCTTCAAAGCCACTTCAAAGCCACTTCAAGCCCCCACTCTCCCCAAAAGGAGGAGGACCCAGATGTCCTTTCTTTGGGCAAGAAGTTGGAAGGCGTTCTCTCGCGAATGAGCCTGGCAAGCCTTGTTCCCGGGAGCATGTTTTCAGCTCAACATATTTGAGGGCCCAGTTGCTCTCTTTTTTTTTTGTGGCGGTTTCGTTTGGTTTCCAGTTTTTCGGGGAGCTGTCTTCGATGTGACCATTTAAATTCTGCCCGAAGCCACAGAGGCTGGACTCGTTGCATCCAGGCGGTTCAGCAGAAGCAGCCTTCCTCAGCGCGTTCAAGGAGAGCTGGATCGTCTCCGCTCCGTAGCCACGTGAGTCCTGTCCTGGCCATGCTTAGCAAGCTGGCGAGTTTATTGTCTGATTGAGTGTTTAAGGTTGCAGCTCTTGAGAAGATGCGTCCTAGACGGCAGAAGGCCTTGCCCAAGTTTTTTCAGCGGCAGCGTCGACAGTCAGTTGTGTTGCCGTTCTATGACCGATTTAGTCCCCCAGGCTCTAGCTTTTCGCGCCTGCGTAGTAGGGCAGGCCGCTTTGGGATATCGGCTTCTGAGGGGAGCAGGGTGTGGGTAGGTGCACATCCCTGCGAAGATCTGGCCCTATGCTGCCAGTCGCCCCCCCCAAGTTTCGAAGCTCATCGATGTCCTGGGCAACTTACCAAAACAGGCTCCTCATGCGTCTCCCACATCTGAGAGAAGTAGCCTTTGTGTTACTCTACCTGGCAGATGAAGAAAAGAGTGCAACGTACGCGAAGTAGCTCTCCAGGTCGTGCCCGCGTTTAGGAGCCGAAATTCAGGATTCTCTCAGGCTGAGGGGCTGGAGGCCTCGTCACATGAGACTCTAGAACTCCCGGCTTGTCTCCACCGATGGCATCCGAAGCAGACAAAGTGAGATTCCTTGCGGGGCTCCCTGTTATAGAGTTGCAGCTGCAATGGAGGGGAACCCAACTTTATAAACATTTGATTCGCAAGCTTCCAATTTCCAGTGAGTGTTGCACGGGAAATCCGGCATAAGCGTCCGCAGTCTCAGTTGTGAGCAGCAGTCCTGCACAGTCCTGCACTAAGTGAACCTCACGAAGCTGCTCGATATTGGGGGGGTGTTCAGGGGCTTTTGGCTGGTGCTTGAGATGCCATTCCACCTGGATCCCTTTGAGCTATCAAAAGGGTTTTTGATAGCTGCCTCAAGTAGCTGCAACTAGCTCAAGACATGTCGGCATACAGGTCGTTTGCTACATATGAAGGCATCTGGATGTCGAGTCCGTAGACATCGTAGCACCCGTTTGCCATGCGTGCCGTCGCGCTTGGGCGACGACTCCGCCCTCCTTTCGCCTCAGCTCGCTGCGCATCATTGCCATCCTTGCCCAGCTGGCTTGCCACAGCCGATCCGGCGGCCCTTCGGGATTTGTGCGAATGCCCGACGTGCTGGGACCCTTCCACCCAGCAGCGCAGAGAAGGCCGATTCCAAGTACCGGGAGCTACAGCGGTGAGCTGCCAGGAATCCCAAGAATCCCAGGAATCCCAGGAATCGCACCAAGCGCACCCATCGCACCCATCGCACCCATCGCAGGAGCAGGCGAAGAAGCTGACAATCCAGTGGAGTGATGGCCACGCTTCCGAGCACCGGCTTCCGCGTCTCAGAGAGATGCTGTCTCCTCCCTCTGTCACCCGGCGCATCTGGGAGGCCGCCGACTTCAAGGAAGACGCGTTGCCGACGGTCAGCTTCTCGTCGCTCTTCTCCCGTGATGGGGTCCGCGCCTGGACTGACTTGGTCTCTTCGCTCGGCTTCGCGCTGGTGCGCGGCGTGCCCACAAATGCTGAAACCACGGATGCGGTGGGGCGGCTGATTGGAGTGAAAGATCACAGGGAGATGTTTGGCATGGATTGGCATGTGAAAGTGGAGCCGGGCTCCTCAAACGACTCCGCCTACAGCGGGACGGAGATTCTGCCACACACGGATGGCTGCTACATGGAAAGCCAGCCGCACCTGCAGCTGTTTCATTGCTGGCAGGCAGACTCAGAAGGCGGGATCTCGGGGCTTCTGGATGGCTTTGCAGTGGCTGAAGAGCTGAGGAGGCTGTCTCCGGAGTCATTTCAGACCCTGGCGACCGAAGAAGTTTCCTACCACTTCCACGACGCGACCTCCGCTCTCTACACGCGACGCCCTGTTCTGAAGACGGACAGCAAGGGGCAGCTGCTCCGAGTGACCTGGAACAACTTGGACAGGGCTTCGCTCCCCAAGAGCCCCGCCTTGCGGCGTGCGTTATCGGAGTGGGATGAGACCTTGCACTCAGGGAGCTTAGGGAGCCCGAGGAGCAACTCCGGAAATGGGAGTTTTGGGGGTTTTGGAGAAGGAAGCCGATGGGAGGTTCGCTTCAAGCTGCAGACTGGAGACCTCTTGCTCTTCGACAACCGGCGCCTCCTGCACGCTCGTCACGGGGTCTTGGGAGAAGCTTCGCGGCGGCACTTGTACGGCTTCTACATGCACTGCGACGGCTTGTGGAGCTCGCACCGTTTGCCGAGAAAGCTGGTGTCACGGCCAGGGAGGGTTGCCTTGAACGAGCGTGGAGAAGTTACGGTGCCGACTGCAGCTTCGCAAGCAGGCGGCGCCTCGGAAGGCATCATCGACTTTCGCTCAGACACGCTGACTCAGCCTACTGCTGAGATGAGAGAAGCGATGTCCAGGGCCCAGGTGGGGGACGACTGCCGCCTTGAATGCTCCGTGACGCAGGAGGTGGAGGAGCTGGCAGCGAACCTGCTCGGCAGGGAGGCCGGGCTCTGGGTTTGCGGAGGCACGCAAGGCAACCTCCTGGCCATGGCTGCGCTTTCCCAGGGAGCCCCAAAAGGAGGTCGCCAGGTTCTGTGCGGAAAGGAGAGCCACATCTTCTGCTCCGAGGCCAAAGGCGCCAGCGTCCTCTTCGGCTTGCCCTTAGAGCCCGTGGACCTAAAAAAGCTCAGTGAGGTCAGTGCTGAGGTCGGCGCTGACACCGCCATGGGCCACCTGTGTCCTCCTGCACTCATCGCCGCAGAGAACACCATCGGGGCTCGGTCCTCAGATTTCAGATTCCTCCGAGCGCCTTTGTAAGGGCGTCGTAGGGTTCGCTAGAGGTCCGGAGTAGGGCCGGAGTAGGTGCCATTCCAGTGCATTGCAATGCAAAAAGAGCATGTGTGATCGTTACGAGGCTTTGGGTGGACAGGTGGTGGCGCCGGCCGAGATCTCTCGCCTGGCCTCCCTAGGCCTGCCGCTGCACCTTGACGGTGCCCGGCTCTTCAACGCGGCCGTGGCCCTCAACGTGGACGTGGCGCAGGCGTCGGGAGGGTCGGGAGGTGCCTGCACCGTGCAGCTCTGCCTGTCCAAAGGCTTGGGCTGCCCGGGAGGCTCGGTGTTGGTGGGGCCCAAGCCGGTGATCCGGCGAGCGCGCGACCTGCGCAAGATGCTGGGAGGGGCATCTCGTCAAGGGCACGGCCTGCTGGCTGCCGCCGCCCAAGTGGTGCTCAAAGACATTGACAAAGTCTACAAGCAGTTGAGATGGGACCACGAGGCCATGGCCAGGTTGGTGGAGCGGCTCCAGCAGGTAGGGGCCACTGTGGAGGCCTATGGGGGCACCAACATCGGCATCTTTTCGGTGCCCAACACCACACTCTACCAGCAAGCTTTGTCCGACATCAGCGATGCCGGAATTCGGCTGGACGTTGATGCGACGTACGCCGCATCAGACGGGACGAAGCTGGCTTGGCGAATGGTCACTCATAGGGACATCACCAGCGACATGCTTCGGAAGGCGCTTGATGTCATGAGCAAGGCTTTGGCAGGTGCTCGCCAATGAAGCTGAGTGCCATCAAGGCAAAACTCCGTTTTAAGAGGGAGAGTCACCATGTTGGGTACTGAGGCTGCTTGAAGACTTTTTTGGTGCACGTATGCCGATGCCGTGATCTCTATTTGCCCATCTTCGACTTCCGAGTGCTATCTGTACTTGTTTCTTTCTGTCTCCGACGCAGGGGCTTGCGTGCTTTAGGAAAGAACAGAAATGAATCGCAGAATGTTCACACGCAGTTGGAAGTGCCAGATCAAATGCACTGGCTTCGTGAGAACCATCGCAAGCAGGATGGGAGCTGCCCCAATGTGGGCCAGTCCGCCTGTCCCCCATGCCCACGGATGATCCATGGCTTCTTGAGACCCAAGTGACGCTTAAATTCGACTCAGAGGCTTGAGTTGAAGCCCTCAACACCGCCCTCTCCCAGTGCTGAGAGGGCTCTATGAGTCTATGAGTGCAAAGCGCACAAGACTTGGATCAGCGCGCCCCAAATGTGCCACTGTACTGCATCGGAAGCCAGCAGAGGGTCAGGTCTTGGGTTTAGGGATCCAACAGCGCATGAAAGAGTAGCGTTGCCATGGTTCAGGGCATACCATGGTAGCCTTGTTTGCCATACCATGACCTGTTGCTTCGTCGGAGATGAGGGAAGTCAAGGGATATTGGCCTAGCTAATCCCTGAAAGAGCTATTTAGAGGGATGCAAGGTGCTTTCTTCCTTATTCGTCACCCTCTTTCCGCCTAAACTCCCTCTAAACGCCCCGAAAGCCCTACATGAGCTAGTGGCATTTCATAGAGACCTTGAGTGCAATTTCGTTGTGATCCGTGCGGCACTGTGCTTTTGTTTCTCTTGCACTCAAGCCGAAGTCAGGGATCTTGGGGAAGTCGCGAGAAATGGGCCCTCGTTGTTCTTGAATCTGTCAGCAGCCTCTGAGCACGTTGCGGCGGAGATGCAAAAAAAGCTCCCTTAAGCCCACAGGTGGATCCGTCCCATCGTGTCTTCTCAGCGTTTCTCTTTGTTAGGGGGGGGGGCTGAGTTCTTGGGAGTTCTTGGGGCCATGCCGCGGCTTCTATCGCTGGCGCTTCTGGCTGTGGCCTCCGCCGACCTGGATCTCGCGAATTGGATGGGGCAGTTGGCCCCAATCCTTGGACTCCCGTCTAGAAAATCGGGTTGGGGTTTAGGGTTTGGGGTTTGGGGTTTAGGGTTTATAGGGTTTAGGGTTTAGGGTTTAGGGTTTAGGGGCTGGGGTTTAGGGTTTAGGGTTTAGGGTTTTGGGTGTAGGGTTGTGCTTGCTTTGGTTCGCGGAAGAAAGTCGGAAAGCAGGGATGTTTGGGGGTGTACCTTATCTTCCCCCTTAAAGTTCTAGGCTGGCTGGGATCTGCTGCTCAGTGTCTCTACGGCTGCGGGGGGGGGGGGGGGAAGCATGGCCCCTCGCAAGTCGCAAGGTCTTTTTAGCAGCAGTGGCGCAAGCTCCCGAAAAGCAGGGGACCGGAGGTTTCTGCTCAGGGCTGAAGAGGTCAAAGTGTCATAAACTCGCAGCAGAGAGGAGGTGGAGCCGTTGCGTGTCACTTCAAGGCTGCAAGATTGCAGCTGAGGAGATGCCACACTCTTGGACCTCTCGCTCCCAGGGACCCACGACTCCATGACTTACGACTCCTGTCACGAGATGCCCACAAAGAGTTTCTCTGATTGGTCCTTGGGAACTAGGGAACTATAGGTACCTTGCATAGCCTTCCATCCCCCCTACAGAACCCTTTATGGGGATTATATACGGAACATTGGTATACCGAATTCCCTACGTAGAGCCAGCAAGCTTTGGGAGTTTTCTTCGGTGACTTTAGGTGGATTGTAGAGTCCGGACAGGGCCAAAAGGCAAAAGACGGTTGCTTTGGGGATCAAGAGTACCGCAAAACGAACATATGGGGCTTTAGGGTTTATATGCGGGGGGTGGTTTCCGAAAGGCATCCTACCATTTGGGGGGTCGAAATTTGGATTCCTTCTTTTTCGTAAACTCCCATAAAGGGCAAGGGGGACGGTACCCTGTGTTAAGGTGCCCCCACCTCCCCCACCTTCAGCCTCAGTCGGCTCAGGACTTGAGCGACACCCTCAGCGATGGCTATGAGGGTATGTCCGCAGCAACGCCACCTGAGAAGCAGCGAGTTTGTGAAGAACCCTGAGAGACAAGTGTGTTGAAGTCCCCAAACCCTAACACCCTAAAACTCAAAAGCCATACAACCCTACAACCCCAAAACGCTACAACCCTACAACCCTAGAAGTCCTAAACCCTAAGACCCTAAATAACCCCAAACCAAAAAAATGAACCTACAAAGCCCCACCTCCACTCCAAAGCTTCCTTGAGAAAACCATCTCTTCGGGCTCTTTTCTTACGGTTGGTTCGTAGGGAATGGGGGAATGGTACCCTATATTATAGAGGGCCCTAGTTCCCTCATTCCCTGCCAACCAACAGTAAGTGCAGTGCTGAGCGCCAACTTCTTGGCTTTTTGGGGGCCCGCTTGTTGGACTTTAGGTTTAGGGTTTAGGGTTTAGGGTTTAGGGTTTAGGGTTTAGGGTTTAGGGTTTAGGGTTTAGGGTTTAGGGTTTAGAACCTGTCAGGTCCGCCATCTTGCACGCGCTCACCCCGGGGTTGGCTGGACGCTTCATCCGGAAGCAAGGCCAGACGCAGGGCATCACCATCACGGACGCCTGGCAGTCTGTGAGTGTGTTGTTAGAGACACAAAGAAAAAGCAAGCATCATTTAATTCCGGGTCCCTCGCTCCAAAAAAGGAGTCATGTGAGAATTTCCGGAGAGGGCACCGCCAGGGGCCATGAGGTCCCTGAACTCCAAGAGCTCCGCGGCCCTTGCGGCCTACCGTAGAGCCGTACGGCCTACGGCTCTACTAGAGGCCTAAGAATCCACTACCCTACACCAAGAACCCTTTTTGGGAAGCCCGAAAGCCCTCAATCCCTCCCCCGCCTCGAACCTTTACAAAGTCTGGTCACTTCACCGAGGAGATGCTGGAAGGCGGAATACGCTTCATCGACTTCCGGGTCATGTGAGCCCCAGCTTTTGGTGTAGGGGGGGGGGAATGTCTGGGCTTTGGGTAGAGGGCCCCTCAGAGGGTAGTGTTTGAGGCTGCAAGAAGAAGCCAGAAGCTGCTCGCAACAGCGCGCTTGCGGCACCTTCTGACCTGCTAAAGCACAGAGGGTCCAGGAACCGGGAACCGGATGTGGATTTGTCAGGGCATCCTCGCCTGTCTGGTCGAAGTGGCCGTGTGCCAGGTACACCGTGGGCCCAGATCGAGTCGCTGGTGGCAAGGCTTCTCTGTTTTCTTGAGGGCTTTCCATGGGTGTTTTCAGCTGAGTTGGGGGGGATGTTCAGGTTGTGTTGGCTGCAGAAGCCCCCCTGAACTCTTCAAAAAAACAAGAGAGCCCTAAATGCGCCGAAAAGCCGAGCAAACCCGAAGTTTTCCGCGTGCACGCGAATTACTCGGAGGATTGGTACTGCCTCCACGGCTGCGAAGCTCGGATCTCTTTTGAGCTGAGCTCTTGGTGCGAGGTTTAGGGTTTAGGGTTTAGGGTTGAGGGTTTAGGGTTCGGGGTTTATAGCGGCCGTCCGATAAATTGCCCTCTAAGCCCTAGAAGAAGCTCTCTGAAGTACCCGAAACTACCCTGAGCCCCACCCTCTGCCCTGGGTACCCTAACGCACCCTCAACGAAAAAAACATGACCCTTATAAGGGAGCCCTTTGTAAACGGTGCGAAAAGAAAAACCCTAAGCCCTAAACCCTAAACCCGAAACCTTAAACCCTAAACCCTAAACCCTAAACCCCAAACCCGCCCGCCACCCCACTCTCTTGTTTTGGGGTAGGCGGGCGCTGGTCGAGCGCTCAGTGAGACCCTGCGAGGGAGCCCAAGGCGGGCGACCGAGCTGGCCTCCAGGCAGGCTTACCCTCCAGGCAGGCACAGGCCGAAACAGCAGTTGTCACTGTATTTTCTTAAAAAACTCTGAATTTAAGCTGTCCGCGCACATTCTTGGCTCCTGGGAAGACCCCTGGAGACCCCTGGGTCCCCAACCCCCGTCCGCTGGGCTGCGGGGACCAGGATTCTCTTTTTCCTGGCGATGGTTTGGTTCTAGATCTGACCTTGGCCGTCCGCCCTGGCCCTGGCCTGGCCCTGGCCCTGGCTCTGGCCCTGGTCTGGCCCTGGCTCTGGCCCTGGCCCTGGTCCTGGCCCTGGCTCTGGCCCTGGCCTGGCCCTGGCCGGCCCTGGCCCTGGCCCCCAAACCTCCGAAATCAAGGGACACCCTCGGCACCCCCTCAAAGTCGCAAATGTCCCAGGCAGTGCCAGTAAGCAGGGGGGCCTTAAACCCTTCCAGTAGGCAGAAGGCTGCTAAAGAAGCTCTGGAGCTGACAGGAAGCCCTGAAAGGTCCGACCCCTCGCTTTGACCGCTCTAGTGAGTTTCGTTCTCTGGCCAAGTGAGCTTCGGCGTGGGGGGGATTCTTGCAAAACCTGCAGACTCTTCACGCCCTGAATTTTCTGTGGTTCGGCCCAGACCGTCCCCTGCGCAAAACCTGAGGGGGGGGGTCCTTTGCCTTCTGCCCCCAAGTGACCTCCGAAGTCAAGGCTTGTCAAAGTAGCAAATGTCCCAGGCAGTGCTCGACATGCTGCCTTCTGGCCCCAGATGATCTCCGACTTCCTAGTGTCCCAATCAGCCACTGTTCCCAAGTGACCCCCCCAAGAAATCGCCAACAGCTCGCCTCAAGTTCGGCAAGAGTTCACGACTCGCAAATGTCCCAAGCATTCGCAGTGTTTTATCTTAGTGTGCTCTGAACATGTTCGATATGTGAAATTTTAATGGCTGGCTTGGCTTTGGCTGGCTCCGGTTTGGTTTCGTGATGAGTATTGTTTGGGTGGCCTCGGGGTGGGCATGTCTTCACACTAACGCGTTCAGCTGACCAATGCTACACCCTAAACCCTAAACCCTAAACCCTAAACCCTAAACCCTAAACCCTAAACCCTAAACCCTAAACCCTAAACCCTAAACCCTAAACCCGCCCGCCACCCCTCTCACCTCTGTTGGGGTAGGCGGGTGCAGTCGAGCGCTCAGCGAGACCATGGCAGGCTCTGCTTGGGCTGCCTGAGGGGTCGCCAAGCTTGCATAGTCACTGCAGATATATTATTACCCTAAAACTTTAGGGGGTCTTCCTCGCCTTTTGGGACTGCGGCCTTTTGCTGGACCAGGGGCCCTTTTTCGGGTCCAGCCTGGGCCATTGCTCAAAAACTGCTTTTTTTGATGTTTGTGCAGTTTAGGGCTCTGGGAGGCCTTTGGGAGGTCCCTGGGAGGCCCCTGGAAGGGCCCTGCAAGGCCCCCTTGGAAGGGTGTTGGCCTGAAACCTGAAAGGCCCCTGAAAGAAGGGGTCTCCTTTGTCTTGGCCCAAGTGAGCGCCAAGCTGCAACCTTTTCACGCCTGAATTTTCTATGAGAGGGCCCTTCGGCCCAGACCGTCCCCTTCGCAACAACCTGAAGGGGTCTCCTTTGTCTTGGCCCCAAGTGAGCCCCAAGCCTCAACCTTTTCACGCCTGAATTTTCTATGAGAGGGCCCTTCGGCCCAGACCGTCCCCTTCGCAACAACCTGAAGGGGTATCCTTTGCCTTGTGGCCCCAAGTGACCCTCAACTTGCAACCTATCCACGCCTGAGTTTCCTGTGAGAGGGCCCTTCAGACCGTCCCCTTCGCAAAAACTTAAAGGGGTGGCCCCAAGTTCAAAGTGACCCAGAAGTCCAATCCTTGGAGGCTTGGACTGCTCGCTGAGCTTCCTCGTCTTCGAGATTTTGCCCAACCGTTCGAAGTCCGAAGTTTCTTCAGCGTCCTCTCATGAGAATATGCGACGTGTGAGTTGTGAATGGTTGGCTTGGTTTGGGCTGGCTCCGGTTTGGTTTCGCAGTGAGTTGTGATTGGGTGGCCTTGGGGTGGGCATGTCTTCACACTATTGCGTTCAGCTGACCCGTGCTACACCCTAAATCCGAAACCTTAAACCCGAAACCCTAAACCCTAAACCCTAAACCCCAAACCCTAAACCCTAAACCCTAAACCCTAAACCCTAAACCCTAAACCCTAAACCCTAAACCCTAAACCCTAAACCCTAAACCCTAAACCCTAAACCCTAAACCCTATACCCTAAACCCTAAACCCTAAACCCTAACCCTAAACCCTAAACCCTACCCCCCAAAACAAATTCAAAAAACAACAGCGAGGACGCGTGAGAAAGGCATTTGGGGGAATTTCCCGCCTCAGCCCAGGAGTCGAAGCGCAAGGCCATCGCGTACCTGCGGGAGGTGCGCTCCTGGCTCCTCGGCAGTTTTTGGGGTGTTTTAGGGGGTTTTAGGGGGGGTTAGGGTTTTTTTTGGGGGGGGGGGTTAGGGGGTTTTAGGGGGGTTTAGGGGGGTTTTTGAGGGGTTTTAGAGGGGTTTGTTTAGGGGGGGCTGTTTAGGGGGGGAGGAGTTCCGCAATTTTCTTGGGGGCTTTTAGGGGGAGGAATTCCGCCTTGTTTTTTTTGGGGGGGGCGGGGTTTTAGGGTTCGGTTTAGGATTTCGGAACGAAGGGGCTCGCTTTTGAAAAGGGTCTGGGGGAGCCCAGTCCACATTGCGAAAGTCGCCTTTTCACCCCTGAGCCAGGATGGATGCCCATCCCAAGGAGGCCCGGGGGCGGATTTTTGAAGTAGGGCTTTTTCGGGCTTTGAGGGTTTAGGTTATTTGGAGTGCAGGGTTCAACAGGGTTTAGGGAGTTTCGGGGGTTCCACCTGCAAACCCGTGGGGGGCACTTTGAAAGCCGTGGGGGCACACCTTCAACGCGAGAGGTGGTGGTGCTTTGGGCCTCGCGGCACGGCAACGTGGCCCTAACGGGTACGGCCCAGCTGCCTGGCGCGAGTTGGAACCAAGGAACCCACCTTGTGATTTCAGGGAAAACCTAAAGCCCTAACCCCTAACCAAAAAGCTCCGACTCTGAGCCAAAAGAAAAGTCGGGGAGTCTAGAGACATTTGAGAGCGGAGGTATCCGGGCACCACGCCGGCCGAGAGGCAAGCCTTCTTCAAGCAGGCTCACAGGAGGGGGAGGAGGGGGGGCGGGGGGGGGGGGGGGGGGGGCGTCACAAGAGCTTCTCAAGGCCCGATTTTTCAAGAAAGTGCCCTGTGCCTTGGGTGCCGCTCCAATCTTAGAGCTGCCCCCCCTGCATCTGTTTGCCTCTTGATATGGGCAGCCTTTGGCATCCTTGGGGGCATCCGTGAGCATGACGTAGAACTGCAAACCGCGCAGCCGCGGCCCGAACGGAAGCCGCCTGAGGTTGAGGATGTCTTCGGCGAGCTCCTGATGGAGAACGTAAGCTGCCAGACTTCAAAGTACCACGTTTGACGGAAGCCCCCCCAAATCGCAGGGCCTCCCCACCCCTTCCCTGCTTTGGAAAATCTGCCTGAATCCCGGATTACGGAGGTCTCAACGAAACCTCCATCGTGGACCTGCAGCGCCGAAATAAGCCGCCAGCAGAACAGGTGACTTCGCTCCTTTGTGGTTTTCGGAAAGCACAGCTGGGTGCAACGGGTGCAACAACCCTGAACATCTACTTTCAAAGGGGTAGTAGATATGGGAAACTCCCCGCCCTCTGCAGCGCTACATCTCCTTTGCAACTCCCCGGTAGCTCAGAGAGTTACTGCGAACGCTTGTGACCTCAGCTGGTTCAGGACTCGTGGGAAACTCTTTCTCTCTCTCTCTGTCTTTCTCTCTCCCTCTCCCTCTCCCTCTCTTGCGCGCCTTACCCTAAACCCTCATTCCTCTCTCTTTTTTCTAGCGATGCGCTCGAGGTTCCTCCAAAATTTAGCTTGGACTTGGGGACGCGAGGCGACTCCTGTGGTTCGCCTCCGACTACGTGGAGTCCACTCGGAGAACGCGGGAAAAATGGGCGGTTCTGGGCGGTTCTCCGGTTCGCCAAAGGAAGCTTTCAGCTGTCCCAATTGGGACGCTCAAACCAGTCGAAGGGCTCTCCAGGGTGCAGAAGACTCTCCCGGATGTCAAGGGGGGGGCCCCTTGTCGAGCCTGAGCCGAACATCGTCTAGAGCCTACAGACTTGAAGACTTGAAGACTTGAAGACTTGAAGACTTGAAGACTGGTTTTTGGGATTCTAGTTGTTTTTTTTTCAAGGGTTGTGTTTTGGGGGTTTAGAGGTTGCGCTCACGTCCAGAGAGGAGCTCTCCGCGGGCCGCGGATGCCCGAAGCATCGACAACCAGCTGAAAGGCGATGCAAAGTCCGAGCCCATGAGCCCCTTTGCGCACCCCTTTGGCAATTCTTTCAAACCTCGATCCTTGACCCTTCCACCTTCCCAACCCTCTCCCCCTGAAGCTGATGGACCTAAGAAGCCTCGAAGCCTGCACTCGCCGCGAGGCGGGGGCTACGGGCGGGAGTTCGTTGACTTCGCAAAGCAAGGCTCCGACTGGTCGCGTGCCATCGTTTGGTGCGCGAGTGCGTTTTGCGTTAGGCAACCTGCGAGTTCTCAGTACGGAAGAGGTGGACAAAATGCTTTAAGCCTCTGCCTTTCCTTTCTGCCTTCTTCTGCCTTTCAGGTGGAAGCAAGCTTCGGGATGATCGTGCTCGCAACCAGTTCCTGCTGGCTCCGTGGACTCAGTTTACCCGACACCTCTCAGCCAGGATGCGCTGGAAGGCCCTCTAGTCCCCCAAATCAACCCTCTAAAGGTTTTTTTGTATTTAAGGGGGTTATAGGGGGTATTATCGCCCATGCTGGAAGGATTCAGGGCGCATCGTTCTCCGGCTCCCTCCTCAAATTTCCCAAATTTCCGGGAGGGAGATACGACGTCAGCAGGTCCCCTACACACCAAACCACGCCGTTGCAACAAGATCCAGCTTAAACCTCCTAAAACCCCAAAAGCCCTAAAAGCCCTAAGCCCTCAAAGCCTTCAAAGCCTTCAAAGCCTTCAAACCCGCAAACCCTCAAACCCTCAACCCTCAAACCCCTCCAAACCCTCAAACCCTCTTCAAACCCTCCAAACCTTCAGACCCTAAACCCTACACCTCCTCACTAACCCGAACCCCGAACCCCGAACCCCTTAAACCCAGGGGCGGGGGGGGAGAGAGGTTCATGGGAAAGAAAGGGCGCCCAGCACCCCCGAGGTGAGCATGTCCGTGGGCCCTCCGACACCGCCGTCGAAGATGCTGCGAAGTTGGAGCCCTGAGGGCCCCAGAAGGGGTTTTAGGGTTTAGGGGTTGTAGGGTTTCGGGTTTGGGGTTTAGGGTTTGGGGTTTAGGGTCGAGTTTTAGGGTTAACCTTCGGTTTGGGGTGTGGAAGAGCATCATCCTTTCGAGACCTGAGGGGGCCTCTGCCCTGTTTGCTAATGTTTGCCCACTGGCTACCAGGAGTTCCTGCCGAACCTCTTCGGAACCCACAAGAAATGGACGAAGGACATCCGGGGCTTTGCCGATTTTCGGGGGGTATGTTCTGGGGGGGCACCCGCGTGTTTGGGCAGATGTTCACACCTCGTGGTGGCTTTTGGCTTCGTGTTTTTTTGTTCGCTGGGTGTCCCTGTGAGCAACACAACACGTCGGCGAAGAACGAATGAAAGCACACGCGGTCCAAGACCTTCCTCCGCCCCAGCTGTCCCCCACACACCAACAGCGCTACTGATACGGCCCTTCTCAAGAAGTTCGGGATCTTCCATGTAGCGCCGGGTGCATCAGCAGATTTTGTCTTTGAGCATGATCTGTCGAGCACATCTCCGGGGATGTGTTTACACCTGGTTTTGCTTCACGAGTGCTCTCTCTGCTGCTGCACGTTGTGCTCGCTTCTTGCGTGTTCGCTCGGTTGCCGCTGGGGCGTCTCCTGGGGCCGTCCCTGAGGAGTGCGCAGAGACCGCGAAAGTGCCGAACATGACGTCCTGGTGCCCCCGCTCGCTCATGGACTGGGCGCTCCTCAGCAACTACTACCACCAGCGACATGGCGCGGCGTTGGGGGGGGGGGGGGGGTGAGAGCTCTACGTTTGTCTGTTTTCGTGTGCTTGTTGTTCTCGCAAGGTTCGGAGCATTGGGGAGTCCCAGTTAACGGGGTTGCACGTCTTTTTTGTAGTTGGTGGGCCTGAGCGCCGCCATGTCGTAGTGAACTCATTTGAATCCAAGTCCTTGTGCCGGTTTCGATGCACGTTTGGGATTCGAGCATGTGAGGAGATTCGATGCCTGAGTTCTCAACATCAAAGACGCAGGTTCCAAGTTCGTTCCTTTCCCTTTTAGGGTTCATGTTGCAAGGAAAGAGGCCCTGAACCCGAAACCCTAAACCGAAACTCCCCTCAAAATCTTCTTCCCCCAAAGTCCCCAAGTTTTTTGTTGTTGTTTTTTTCTCTCTCCCTCTCTCTCTCTGTCTCTCCAAAGAACCAAAGAACCAAAGAACCAAAGAACCAAAGAACCAAAGAACTCTCTCTCTCTCTCTCTCTTTCCCTCCCTCCCCCCAAGAACCAAGATCGAGGCGAGCCCTGGACTTCATCTACAACCTGGGAAACTCGGACCCTGGAGCCGACTTCCCCAACGCCATCTACATCAACACGGCTGCCTGTTGTGATGGACGGGTTGTCGATGCCGCGTTTGCTTTTTTGAGGGGAAGGGGGGTTTAGGTCATAGGGTTAGGCTGACCTGACATATTTCTGAAGGCCCCGAGATCTTGGCCCTTCTCCCCTGCTCGGCTGATAACAAATCTGTGGTCTGTGCCTGCTGTCTGCTGCGGCTTCTGCACGGATCATGGAAGAGATCAAGGAGAGTTCCGAAGCGTTCGCATCCTGAACCCCATACAACCCTCTTGGGCCAAGGTGGATGTAGGGGGGCTCATCCGGACTGGAACGGCGCCTCAGCAATTCAGTTAGGCCTGGCGTTGCAGAACTACAGCCATGTGTTGCTTTTGTCGATGTCGAACGCAGGGGACATGAAACATATCGTCTAAGCTATGGTTCTAAGGTGTGCATAGAGAAGGACCCCTAGGGCGTTGGTAGGAGCTGGCGGCTTCAGAGAGATCAGCCGCGATGAGTCAGATGGGAGTTCCCGACAGAAATCATTTCCTCCCAACACAAACATAGTCAGAATCCGCTCAAAAGCACCGTAATTTGCGGTGAACTCCTGTATATAAAAAAGATAGATAGATAGATATATATATATATACATATATATATATATACACATATACATATACATACATGTATATATAAATATATATGTATGTATGTATGTATGTATGTATGTATGTATATAAATAGATAGATAGATACATAAGTAAAAAAACTATAAATAGATAACAAAACAGATATCTATCTTAGAGATCGAGGAAGCCCGCGCCCGGTGATGCCCAAAGCCCAGAGAAGAGCTTGCGCCCAGGCCAAGATCAACCCGCTGGGCCAGGAGGCCGCCAAGGGGGTGCTCGGTATAAAGGGTGCCGTACCAGATGGGAACCCCCAAAAGGTGCCTCATGGAGAGAACTACCCATGTATATATATATACACATATACATACATACACATTTTGATATAAGTATATATGTATATACATATGTATACACATATTTGTTTATATATATATATATATATATCTATCTATCTATCTATATATATATATAAACTCTATTGCTGGCGATGATCCTGGTGAGCACCACCAATCCGCCTCCCCGAACTCCGCCCCTTTGGCTCGGAAAGCCTTCGCCTCTTGGGTCTTGGGGCCTTCGAGCCCAGAGGTTGCTTGGAAGCCTCAGATCCTACCCGTCGATAGCGCGCTGGCAGGCGCATCCTGTGCCAGACGGCAGCCATGACCAGGATGGCTACGCGTCTCGGCTGCACAATGCTGTGTACCGCCGCAGGCAGCCATCGTCTCACACGCTCTTTGAGGGAACAAAAGGACGACGCAGAATTCCCTACCAAAAGCCAGCAAGTCGTGAGGCGTATTCAGCGACGCTGATCGCGGCCAACGTGCGCCGGCTTTGCCGAAAGACGCAGCGACTTTGCTGGCAAGAGGTGTCGTTGCGGCTACTGGAGATTGACCACTTCGCCGTCGCAAACCCGCGGGCCACGCAGGGTTTGAGTTTCAGGGTTTCGGGAGTTGAGGTCTGACAGTGGATGGCGCCTCACCGAGCTGATTCTCCATCTCCTACCCTCCAAAGCCCCTGAAAGGCCCTGGCCCCGAGTCGTCGCATTCTTCCGAGGGCCGAGGGCTGCGGCGCCTTGGCCGCCGCCGCCGCAGCGGCGCGGAGCCTTCACCCGGTCAGCCTGTGGGACGCGCCCGGGCTCAGAAAGCGTGCTCAGGAAAAGGGTGTGGTTAAGAGGGCTTCCGCGGGATTCTTGCAGAAGGCTTTGTATTTTAAACATATCAAGTATCATATTCGCATACTGTTAGTAGTTTCTTGATTCTTGCAGAAGGTTGTTTCGTGGGCTTTGGGAGGGGCGAAGATCCCCGAAGCACAGAGCGCTTCTGAGGACGCCACGCGCGGGCGCCGCGCAGCTGCAGCGAATGCTCCGGGTCAGCTTCTTCTTTCCCGTCTTCTCTTTGTGTTCCTTTTTTTCTTGTTTAATTGTTTTTTCGGTGGGCTACAGGGAACTTCAGGATGTTTTTTTGGGCAGCGGTTTTGTTTGGCACAGTGCCGTTGGGGTCTTCGCGAGAAGTCGGCTGGGACCGGCTTTCGAGCGAGGCATCCATGATGTTTGGGGGGCAATACAAGGCTCCTTACTTGCTATGAAAGGAAGCTCAAAAGGGACCGTGCCCAGTGCCCCTGCTGAGCAACACCGCTTCTTCTTCTTCTTCCGCAACCCACCTTGAGCGCCTTTGAACAGCCCCTTCACCGCCGAAGCTCTTTTGGACCGAGGCTTAAGAGACTGGCCGGAGCTTTCCCCCGCCATCACGGTCATCTGAGCCCAACGTCCTGTTAGCCTTAGGCTCTACGGAGGGCTGAGTCTGCCACCCGAGCTGAAGAAGTTGGGACATGTCAGGGGTTCCCAGTTTGAGAAGCTTGCGACCTTGCTCCATCCAGGTCGTAGCAAGGAGGACCGTATCTCAGCAACACTCTTCCTACCCCCCCCCACCAAGTAAACTGTTCTTTCTCCAAATGCCTAAACCCTAAACCCTAAACCCTAAACCCTAAACCCTAAACCCTAAACCCTAAACCCTAAACCCTAAACCCTAAACCCTAAACCCTAAACCCTAAACCCTAAACCCTAAACCCTAAACCCTAAACCCTAAACCCTACAACCTAAACCCTAAACCCTAAACCCTAAACCCTAAACCCTAAACCCTAAACCCTAAACCCTAAACCCTAAACCCTAAACCCTAAACCCTAAACCCTAAACCCTAAACCCTAAACCCTAAACCCTAAACCCTAAACCCTACCCTGGGTAGGAGATTGCGTTACCGGGCTTTGGCTTGTGGGGCACGGCGTGTTCGCATGGTACCGTTTGCAGGGTAAGGGCCCTGCACTTGGACCGTGAGAGCCTGAGACCGTCGCGTGAAAAAGGCCGACCCCACTAAACCCCTAAACCCTAAACCCTAAACCCTAAATCCTAAACCCTAAACCCTAAACTTCAGCCTTTGCTCTCCAGCCGGGTTTTGCCCGTGGCCCATGGTCCACGTCCCCGCAGCTGCAGGTTGGTGGGTCGTGTTTTTTGTTGTTTTTTTTGTTTGTTCGTTTTGTTTTTCGGATTCTTTCGGCTTTCTTCTCTGTTTTTTGAGTAACAAGGAAGAAAGAAACCAAGCAAGCAAGCAAGCAAGCAAGCAAGCAAGCAAGCAAGCAAGCAAGCAGAGCAACAATCAGACAAGAAGCAAGCAAGGAAGCAAGCAAGCAACCCTAAACCCTAAAACCCTACCCCTAAACCCTAAACCCCAAACCCTAAACCTCTCTTCCCTTATGTATATATATATATATATACTGAAACGTTTAAGTCCTTAACGGGCATTTGTTGTTTTTCCATGCCCACTTGGCTTTTTTTAACCATGCCCACTTTTTTTTACCATGCCCACGGCAAACTTACCAAAATGCCCTTGTGAAAATGGGCATGGTAGTTTTTTTTTCTCCGTGGGTATGGCAAAATTTGCGGTGGGCATTGGGGAGGTTCCCACGGCAGACTTTACCATGCACTTCAAAATTTACGTACCATGCCCACAGACAACTTTACCATGCCCACAGAAAACTTTACCAAAATGCCCTCCGGTAAACTTTTCCGTGGGCATGGAAAAGTTTTATGTGGGGCAGGGGCGGCAGCAGCAGCAGCAGCATCCACCCCTCAAGTGTGGAATGTTGGCCCAACATGTTGGCCCAACATCCACCCCTCAAGCGTGGACGTTGGCCCCGCAACATCCACGATGTTGGCCCAACATCCACCCCTCAAGCATGGATGTTGATGTTGGGCCAAATCCCCTCAAGAGACCGGAGTGGGCCTGACCTCCAACGAATGGTGGTGCCTAAGTCGTCCCGGTCAGAACTGCAACTCGCTTAATTCCACGAGGTTGCTATCACGTATATGTTTGTGATCTACTGGCCAAGATCGGAGTTTGCTTCACATATCTATACCAGGCTATCGCCAGGAGTCTTTGTCGTTCCTGTATATTTGATACCTTTGAACTTAACTGTTTGGGGTCTTTGCTGGCGTAAGTTTCAATCAGAATTCTACGTTACAAGAACCTCGAGGTTTCTTCTTAGTTTCGAGTGCCAACCTTCCCAGGGCCGTCTTAACGCATGCTTCTTCGTGCTAGAGGCTTATGTCCGCCTCCTGGACATTCACAAGCGAGCAGTCCGAGCAAGCGAAGGCAGGCTCCTTCCCTTTCAGACGGCGCATGTACATATGTCACGTCCTTGCTTGGGATGTGGTCGTAAGGAGTTCCGCGCGGCCTTACGCTTTGTCGAAAGCTTGCATAGCAGTGGATTGCGTTGTGGCTGCATATGGCTGCGTGATGTGCACGATTAGGCGGTCAGCGGTTGACTTCCGGCAGGCGCTTGGCTCCTTCTCATCGTCTGGCCCATGCGAAACTGTCCTAGTCCTGCCGGTTGCAGGCGATCTTCAACGCTTACGCGGAGGCGGAGGACTACCTGACGCCACGAACGATCGCTGACGCCGCCGTCCCAAGTTGCGTAGATTTTGTGTTGGAGTCATTGGAGTGTATCGTCGAGGTCGTCATTGCAGTGTATCGTTGAGGTCATTCTTTCAGCCACTCCATCGGCGAACTTTACAGAGCAAGAAGTGGAATGCTCTCTCTAGCGCTTTAACACCAAAGACAGCAAGCACCAACAACATGTTATCCTTCCTGCGCTTTCTTTGACAGGTATGATGAGTGGTTTTCACTGTCAAATTCTTGGTTGAGATTACCATAGTTGCTCCCATGAATACTACTCGGAGTATTCCTTATTTCTTTGTGAGGTTGACAGGCTGCTCTGCGTGGAAGCATCCGTGAAGCCTGGAAGCCCGCCGTCCCAGTCGTTGTTTGCAGGAGGCGCGTCGTCTCCGAGCAGAGCTTGTGAAGGACCTGTGGTTGACCACGCGCCTGTCCTTATGGAAGTTGTTTTTTGCCCGGACAAAAACTATGTCATCGTTGATGCTGCAACCATTCTTACTTTGTGTGATATTCCTTTGACTGCAATGTCATGCCTGATGGTTTAGATTCCCTGCTTGTCTCATCTCAAACGACTTACCTGTTCTTGCAGCCCCGGAGGCCAGTGACGAACTCCCAACTTTCAGCATCAGGCAAGTGTGGCCACATGCTTCTTGGCCAATTCATGTAAGAGCATGCAGCCCACCTGTTGGTGTCCAGCAGCGTTGGCCAGAGCTACGCCTCATTTATTATGATAGAACTGCAGCTGTGGGTCGGCGGTGCGTAAGTGTGGCAGCAATTGCTCCACACAGCAGGCCGCAGGCAGCTAGACATACATGGAAGGGGCCCTTATGTACCATCCAACAGTTTCAGCACCTTGGTGTTATGTACTAAGTATGTACTTCGGAGTTGTGTAGCAACTCCAAGACTCTGAGAACAAACCGCTCTGATCTGGCACCAAGGAGTCGAGCCGTCGATGGGCGAGGACTTCGCAGCCGAAAGCCACTCCACTCACTACACACAGCTTTGCAACTACGCCGCCGACGCTATAGTCAGCTTATGTTACAGCACACTACGCTGCATTCTTACTATCCTGCACTATACTGCCCACTGTTCTATGAGTCAGGAGTCTGCTTGATCATGTTGGATTGCGCACTGGTATTGTGCTGATGGCCAGAAGTATGGCGGGTGGACGTACGAAATCCACTTCTACAGTAGTGTTGGGCGACCCACTTCTACAGTAGTGTTGGGTGCGCTGGGGCTGGTGTATCGGTGGCCATCTCCAAGCAAGGCACCGCGGCCAGCACGTCTGGATGTTGCACGAGCTCTTCTGTGCATCCTGCTGTTGTTGAAGCGAAGGTCGTTGCCCCACTTGCTCTGCACCAATACTGATACTAGGAATCATCAGACTACACTACGACAATTGCATCATGCCGTTTTCCAAGCGCTGTCTGATGAAGGCCGGGTCGAACACAGCGGCCTTCCGCCAGGATGTGGGGTGCTTAAACATTAACCTGGGTGCCTGCAGAATGTGCCTGCTGTTTCTAATTGATGTGATTGTTGCTATTCTTGTCCTGGGCACGATTCTATTTATTAGCAAGCTATGATTACTTGAGGTGCCGCTGACGCTGTTAGTTTTATCTTCTCACTCTGGCATGTGTAGACAAAGGTCCATCAGAGCCCTCCCCGGAAATTCGCAGTTGAGCTTGATGATGCCAGCGAATGAGGTGGGCCCTTGACATTTTGCAGGATGTCTTTTGGAAAACAAATATGCGAGTACAGGTCCCCATGGCCCAGCCATCCGAGAAGGCTCAACGCAATGATTGTCAGTCCAACGTGTAGCCACGTGATGCGTGAGGCAGCGGAAGAGATGGCTATCGAAGCCTGCTTCCAGGATTCAGCTCAGCTTGCGATACGGCTCTTTCTATATATTTATATAGTTATATGTATATTTGTACTTATATTTATTTTTCATTTATATTTTTATTTATATTCGTATTTTCTCTTTTTTAATTTTATATTTCTATTTATATTTATATTTATATTTATATATTTGTATTTGTATTTAAATTTAAATTTAAATTTATATTTATATTTCTATTTATATTTATATATTTGTATTTATATTTATATTTATATTTATATTAACCCTAAACCCTAAACCCTAAACGCTAAACCCTAAACCCTAAACCCCAAACCCCAAACCCCAAACCCTGAACCCTGAACCCTGAAACGCTAAATGCAAAACCCCTGATGTGTAGTAGTTGAAGCGTGTTTGTCCGCGCTGCGACATTTGCCGGGGCCATTGCTCAATTCGGCAGTGCACCTGCACACTCGGAAGGCCAGCGGTAAGCCGATAAGACCCTAAGACTTAGCCCTAAGACCTAAACCCTAAACCCTAAACCCCAAACCCTAAGCCCCAAACCCCAAACCCTAAACCCTAAACCCTGAACCCTGAATGCGAAGTGCAGCTCAGCCAGGGGTCGGCTTCGGTGACGAGATTCCGGGGGTTCAGAGCATTTTGATGCATGAGGTGACAATATGCCTACTCTGCACGTGAAGACATCCCTGGCAACAGGTCTAGAGCCTGTCTGAAGGCCCTGAAAAAGACATCTCCTTCTTGAGCTTGAGCTTCGAAGCTCGCCCCCGAAAAATCTGACACTCCGCATATCTTCAAGCTGCCCGCTCTGGCGCTGCAGGGCTTTTGGTGGGGTATAGGCTGCCTAGAGGGCTTTGGGCCAAGGAGGTTCTTAAAGGCTTAGTTAAGGCGTACGCTTTTTGGGGCTCACTATTGTCAGGTCGACCCGAAGCCGCCAAACAAACACAAACCCTAAACCCTAAACCCTAAACCCTAAACCCTAAACCCTAAACCCTAAACCCTAAACCCTAAACCCTAAACCCTAAACCCTAAACCCTAAACCCTAAACCCTAAACCCTAAACCCTAAACCCTAAACCCTAAACCCTAAACCCTAAACCCTAAACCCTAAACCCTAAACCCTAAACCCTAAACCCTAAACCCCGGCCAAGCCTGGAGGCGCATGTGCGACATGGCCCTGCGCTGCAGCCGCTGTGTGCGGCTCAGTCCAGTGCGCGCTGATTGCGCGGGCAACGACGTGTCAGACTTCAGCCCTAACTAAACCTTCAACCCAAAGCCCTAAACCCTCAACCCTCAACCCTACCCCCTCAAAACCTTCAACCCTCAATCCTAATCCCCAAAGCCTAAGACATGCGAAGCGTTTTGGGGAGTGTGTTTTTAGGGCTTCGGATCCTGAGGCTGCGAGCGACTTTTCGCCGCAAGCCGCGGCCTCAGCCATTGGCATAGAAGAAAAGGGGTTTAGGGTTTAGGGTTTAGGGTTTTAGGGTTTAGGGTTTAGGGTTTAGGGTTTAGGGTTTAGGGTTTAGGGTTTAGGGTTTAGGGTTTAGGGTTTAGGGTTTAGGGCTTAGGGCTTAGGGTTTAGGGTTTAGGGTTAGCGAGGAAGCGGCTCAGGATGAGAAGGCTCTCTCTTACACAATGAGAAACTAATATGGTTATTTCCCCAGAGAATAGGGGCACCCCTTTAAGAAACATATGGCTATTTTCCCAAAATACCCCCCTTTTTTTGGCCCAACATGGGATAGGATTCCCTTAAAGGGACCCCCCAAAAATGGTACCCCTGTTTTGGGAAACCCCATTGTTTTTTTGAAAGGGAAGAAGGGTCTTTCATGTTTGGTATGTGAGGAGCGTCCAAGAGGGGCTTGTACAGCATGCGGCTCGAGGTGAAAAAGGTTTCGAAGGAACTTGCACTGCGCCGGTGAAAGGGGAGCTTGTCGAAAGCAACTCGCGAAACTCGAGCGTCAGACAACTCTGCAGACTTTCCCAAGCAAACCCACCCTGAACCCTAAACCCTAAACCCTAAACACTAAACCCTAAACCCTAAACCCTAAACCCTAAACCCTAAAACTTAACCCAAACCCCAGAAACGAGCCGAGGCCCGCCGGGGAGCCGTGCCCAGGGCGGCGAGGCAGACTTGAAGTACTTGGGGCTACTTGGGAATAAGCGTTCAATTTTTGGGTTCTACAAGTTCCCAAGAGACAGCAAGAAGTAAGCAAAAACTGGCTAGGGTTTCAAGTTCAGTGTAGGAAAAGGGGGGTCTGAGCGGCCTTGGCGAACGAACGGATCTGAGGAGATGTCTTGCAGGTTTGCTGGTTCTGGGTTTATTGGGGTTTATAGGGTTTATGGGGTTTACAGGGTTTTTTGGGGTTTATCGGGGTTTTGGGGGCGGGTTTGTAAGGTTTATTAGCTTTACTAGGGTTTATCGGGTTTATAGGGTTTGTAGGGTTTGTGGGGTTTACAGGGTTTATGTGGGGTTTGTAGGGTTTATGGGGGTTTGCCGCCCAAAGCTACCCAGCTCAGGGCTCAGGGGCTCCATCTTGTAGTTGGCCTTTGTGCAGTGTCGTTGCAGGACCAGGCATCAGGTCCCGGAAGGGAAGCGATCCATCGTAGCTTCCAGGCGCTCTGCACCCAAACCAGCAACTTGCAACTGATCACCGGAGGCGTATCAAAAGAAACGATGTGCGTGCAGTTGGAGAGTCAGCGTAATCCCGAGCGCAATGGCTCTCCAAAGAGCGCCTTCCCTCTGAAAAGTATACTTTCGTGGGCCCCAAACCGCAGATATGCACTCCCTTGAGCCCCAGGAGCCCCAAGCCCGAAACCCTGAACCTTCCGCCCGACACCCGCGATGCAGGCAGCCGGCGCCATGGCGGAAGAGGCTTTGGATTTTCCCTCAGAAGGTTCCCCGGAAAACCCCCCTGCTAAACTCCCCTAAACTCCCCCTAAACTCCCCCTAAACTCCCCGAAACTCCCCTAAACTCCCCGAAGGTCCCCTAAACCCCCCTAAATCCCAAACCAAAATTGATCATGATAAGTCTGGTGAACCCCTGGACCTCTCCAGTGTTGGCGCCTTCCACGCTTTGAAGCATCCACGCGACATGTTCGGACGAAATTCTGCGCTTCGTTTCGGCGTCCGGGCGGTTTCGGGTTTCGAGAGCCTTGAGGTGAGGGTGGTCGAAAGAGGAGCAGCTGGAGGGGGGGGTTTCTGGTCATCACGCCCTTCGCGCAGGCCGAGGCTCCCGAGTACAGAGTCCAGGCAGGAGCTGGGGATTCACGAGCGCAAAAAGGCTGCGTGCTTTGGGGTGTGGCAGAAATGGGATATCCTCATGAGTGGCGGGGGGGGGTGGGGTCCTATGAGTTGGAGTGTACCTATCTTCGGGTGTGTAGTAGGGTTACCCCGATCAGCTTCTTCGTCGTCTGGATGCCACAAACTACCCTGCCACCCCCCCCAAACCCTGGAAATCCCCGAAACCCTACGCCTAGACCCCTGAAGCCCCGAAACCCCTCTGCAGCGTGCTCGAGTGTACCTCTTGCCCTGCCTGTGCCGCAGTGTGAGTGCAATGTTCTTGGGAACTGTCTTGCTTTCCTGTATGTGTGGCGGCCTATAATCAAGCCACCCGAAAGGCGCTCTGAAGCCCCCAAACCATCTTCTCTCTCAGGTGGATAGCTTTGAACCTGCACGTCGCGGACGTCATGCAGGGCAGCCCAAAAAGAGAGCAGAGGAGAAGCGCGCGAAAGCTCAAGGGCAGCAAACAAGACGCCGAAAAGTAAGTTGGGTAGTCTTCGGGTATTACTTGGGGGTTCTTGGTAAAGAATGAAGGATGGTACCCCTCATTATCCTCAGGGACCTGAAACTCCTCATTCCCTAAGCACCAGTAAGAGTCAAGCAACGTACGCCTGCGGGCCAAGATTGAGAATGCTTCTGAAATGAACAGCTGTCGTACCTGGGCCACATCCCCTCAATTCCCAGACCCTAGAGAAAAACCAAACAAAAGCACTTCTGAGGCGCAACAAAGCCCTTAAAGCCTTTTAAAAACCCTCCAAAACCCTTCAAAACCCTTATGCACAAGCCCGACAATGCCTGGAACGGCCCCTCACCGCCTCAGGTGATCTACACACTGATCATCCGAAGGGGCAGCGCGCAGTGGCCCATTCGACGGCGATTCCGGCAGGCTCACGCCCACCAGGGTTTGGGGGTTCAGGGGGTTCAGGGGGGTGTTTTGGGGGTTTAGGGTTTGGGGTTTGTGGCTGGGTTCTTGGGTTTTTGGGTTTTGGGTTTGGTGTTTTGGGTTTTAGGGGTTTGTGGATTGGAGCTCAGGGTTTGGGGTTTAGGGCCTTGGGATTCTAGGGTGTTTCAGAATCCTCGTCACATTCCAGATCCCCGTTTTGGTCATGTCGAAATAGAAAGCGTGCCTGGTTTTTTGTTGTCTGCAGTGGGGTGGGGGGCGAGGTACTCGTTGATATCTACGAATCATAGGTTGGGGAGGCTAAGGCATCTACCGAATCGTGACTTTGCTCTCCTTGGGACCCCTTCGACTACCCCCACCGAAAGCTCCGCCACTCGGGCAGGTCGTGAAGCTGCACGAGCAGCTCGTTCAGGGTTTTGGCAGGCACGCGACCTCTGCGCCAGACTTTGCTAATAGGATTTGGCCTTCGACGTCTGCAAAGGGGAGTTGGGCAGCGGAAAGTTCAGGACATTAGACCATGCTGGCATTCTCCAAAAGGGCTAGTCCCACCCACCGACTGCAGAAGCAGGGAGCAAGCGCGAACCCCGCAACTGCACAAAGAACCAGGCAAAGTCCCAGGTGCTAGCTTCATAGCGTCCGAACTCCAAACGCTTGTGGCGCCAATTACAATTGCCCCCCAAAGCGGCGAGACCCCTTGTGGCACCCCCTTGGGCAGGTCTTCCATGAAGGAAGGGTTGCCGAGACTGCCACCGAAGTTGACCTACAGGCTGGTACTGGTAGCAATTCTCTCCATAAGCTCTAGCACCGGAAAAGGCTTTCCCCACCTCACAATTTGGAGCTGCGTCTGCACAAGGGAGCTCGGGTGTACGGGCTTCCCAGAGCCTTCGGAGTTCGGGGCTTTCCTGCGTTACCCTTGAAACCTCAAGTCCCAGGGTGATTCTGGGTAGAGTTGGGCCTGGGATCTAGACCCCTTCCCATCCCCCTAAAAGGTACTGTGGGGTCTCTTTTTTTGGGGAGAGAGGGGGGGGGGGGGGTAGTGTCGTAGTGTCTCAGGGAAGTTTTGCCACGGGTGCCCCCCCCATGTTGGCTCTGCTGCAGATCCATCTTCTGCGGACAGCAGGATCAGCGGTTTCTGCAACTGCGGGTCATGGACTTGGGTATGTGCATGTAGAAATCTGTGGAACAGAGAAGGCCTTGCAAGCCCCAAGAAAAAGGCTCACCCCCAAGAAGCGTCCTTTCTTGCGAGGGGCCCTTAGCACTGCCAAGGCCATGCAACTGCAAGAGTACTTCGAGGCTGGACCCTGGGCGCACATTCTGCATCGCGAGTGTGGAAGCTGGCACCAAAACCCGATGAGAACCCCCGGAAGCCTCTGCTTCGATGGAGAATGGCGAGGCACTTCTGCGGTACATCCCCTATGTGGATCAGTGCGAGGCGCGGGGGGGAGCCGTCGAGATGGCTACACCAGCTCTGATGACCATCATCTGGGGTTTTTTAGAGGAGATGGGGGAAACTCTAGGGCTCCTAAATGGCACTCTGTGCCTCAGAGTTGATGGCCGAAAATCTAGAGCGAAAGCGATGGTCTAGAAATCGAAAACGGTGCCCTCAGCGATCCCAAGCGAGGCTCTTCGGGAATTTCTCTGCAGCGTCGATGTGAGTAACATGAGCCGGCGCCTCAGAATGAGCATCCCAACCTCAAACCGAGATTTTCACTTCCGCACCCATCTTCCAAGCTCCCGCCCTCCTCCCTCCTGAGTTTCAGTTGCATCTGGTGTCTCTTGCAACGCACTCTTAGTAATAATTAGCAATAAGTAGTAATAATAAGCAATGATTAGTAATAATTCGTAATAATTAGTAATAAGTAGAAATAATTAGTAGTAATTAGTAATAATTAGTAATACTTAGTCATAATTCGCAATAGCCAGTAACAATTAGTGATCATTCGTAATAATTAGTCATAAGTAGTCATAATAGCAATAATTGTAATTATAGATAGCAATAATTGTAACTATAGTAATAATAGTAATAATAGTAATAATAGTAATAATAGTAATAATAGTAATAATAGTAATAATAGTAATAATAGTAATAATAGTAATAATAGTAATAATAGTAATAATAGTAATAGTAATAGTAATAAGTAGTAATAATAGTAATAATAGTAATAATAGTAATAATAGTAATAATAGTAATAATAGTAATAAAGTTAATAGTAATAATAGTAAAATAGTAATATATATTAATAGTAAAATTAGTAATAATAGTCATAGTAAGAATTTCGTAAAATAGTATAATAGTAGTAATAGTAACAATAGTAATAATAGTCATAAGTAATAATAGTAATCATAGTAATCATAGTAATCATAGTAATAATAGTAATAATAGTAATAATAGTAATAATAGTAATAATAGTAATAATAGTAATAATAGTAATAATAGTAATAATAGTAATAATAGTAGTAAAAGTAATAATAATAATAGTACTAATAATAATAATAGTAGGGTTGCAAGCGTGTGGGCGCCCCCTGCTTCCCTCCCCTTCGAGGCTACGATGCCCTGCTCGACTTGGAGCAGGCAGCGCAGCTCAAGTGTCCGTGGTTTGGAACCCTAAAAGCCCCCAAAGCCTAAACCCTAAACCCTAAACCCTAAATCCTAAACCCTACACCCTAAACCCTAAATCCTACACCCTAAACCCTAAACCCTACACCCTAAACCCTAAACCCTACACCCTAAACCCTAAACCTTACACCCTAAACCCTAAACCCGGAACCCTACAAACCCTAGTTTCGCTTTTTTCGGAGGCCCTGGGGCGCGGGAGCCCCGGGCGACGCATCGACGCGGCGCTCATCGCCGCGCTGCCGAAGCGGAGCGACCGCCGGAGCGAGGCGTTTAGGGGGCTTTTGGGGGGTTTTGGGGGGTTTTGGGGTTTTGGGGGTCTAAGGTTTAGGGTTTCGGGTTTAGGTTTAGGTGCGATCGAGAAGTTTTCAGGGAGTTTGGGGTTTGGGGTTTAGGGAGGTTTGCGGGTTTTTGGGGGTTGCGACTTAGAATCCAGGGTTTAAGGGTTTAAGGGTTTAGGGTTTAAGTGGTTTGGGTCTAGTGGTTTTTGGGGGGCTTAGGGGGTTGTTGGGGGTTTAGGGGTTTGGGGTCTAGGGTTTAGGAGGCTTTGGGGGCTTTTAGGGCATAGAGGGTTTGCGGTTGAGAATCTAGGGCTTAGGGTTTTAGGGTTTACGGGTTAAGAGGTTTGGGGTCTAGTGTTTGGGGCTTACGGGTTTAGGGATATAGGCTAGAGGTTTAGGGGGTTTGGTTTAGGGCTTAGGGCCTAGGAGGGTTTAGGGGTGTTTAGGGGTCCAGGGTGTCTAGGGCGTTTAGGCGTTTTAGGGGGTTTTAGGGGGTTTTAGGGGGGTTAGGGGTTTAGGGGGTTTAGGGGGTTTAGGGGGTTTAGGGGGTTGAGGGGGTTTAGGGGGCTTAGTTGGGGTTTATCAGCGAGTTTGGGGCTCAGGGGGTTTTGGGTTTAGCGGGTGGGTTTGTGGAGTGGGGGCTTGGGCTAAACTCCCTAAACCCCTAAACCCCCTAAACCCCCTAAACCCCCTAAACCCCCTGAACCCCCTAAACCCCCTAAACCCCCTGAACCCCCTGAACCCTAAACCCCAAACCCCAAACCCTAAAGCCTAAACCCTAAACCCTAACCCTAAACCCTAAACCCTGAACGATAGATTCTTGTATGGTTTCAGTCGAGGCTTCGCCCAGCCATCAGAGCGGCTGCTGCGTCATCTGCCAGGCTTGCTGTTTAGGGTTTAGGGTTTGGGGTCTAGGCTTTGGGGTTCAGGGTTTAGGGTTTGTGGCCCGGGGGGGGGGGGGGGGGGAGGGCTTAGGGTTTAGGATTTCAGGGTTCAGGGGATAGGGTTCCGAGTGCAGGGTTTCGGAGAGTTTGGGGCATGGAGGGGCCCGACTTCCCCAAACTCCCCAAAGAGGAGCTGATGCTGAAGAGCGAAGACATCCGTGTGCTGCCGTGCGGCCATGAGTGACCCCTCAGAGACGGTTTAGGGTTTAGGGTTTAGGGTTTAGGGTTTAGGGTTTAGGGCTTCGGGCTTAGGGTTCAGGGTTTAGGGTTTAGGGTTGAGGGCTTAGGGCTTAGGGAGGGTTCGGAGAGAGGAGGCTGCAGGGTTCCAGGTGAACAGCGGGGGTCCATGGTGAAGGAGGCTGTGGGCACCAACTGGCGCTTTGTCTTGGGGGGTTGCCTTTCTTACAGCCACAATTTTCATCCCACGATACATGCGGCTGGAATAGCACTTGGACAGCTGCGCGACTGTAGAGAGATGAAAGGTTCAGGTCTAGTTGCGACTCATCAAGGTGAGATGTAGTTGCCGGGTCCTCCGGCCCTGAATTGAAAGCGCCGCTACGTTGCCGCCACATGGTGCTTGATGTGGCATGGCTCATCGCAAGAAGTAGGCTTGATGGATGAGAAACAAACGTGGTCCAAAGGGTTTATGCTACTTGCTTGGGTTACATTGTTGCCATGTATCTAGCCTCCATGGGCCATTGGGCTGGGGGTCAAACAAGCCCCCAACAACAGACACCACTCCCCCACCCTCACCACTGCCCCCAACCACCCTTCTCACTCACCCCGCCCCACCCCGCCCGTCTCACCTCCCCCCCTTTCATTTCCATTGATTTCCATTGGTTGTTTTATATTTTTCTGGGTTTCTTCTGGATTTTCCGTTGCTTTCTAGCGGTTTTCAATTCGCAGCCCGTCTCCCAGCCGAAGGGGACGCGGGTGGGGGGGGGGGGAGAGCAAGGCGCACAAAGAGGCAGTGTGTTCGGGCTCTCAACTCTCCCACTGCTTCTCTCACCTGCTATTGCAGATTGCATCTCCGAGAATTTTTCGCTGCCATAAGAAAATTAGGAAAGCTCTCCAGGTATCACTACGAGTGCATCTCGCAGTGGATCCCGGAGAGTAACACCTGCTGTGCACCCCTGGCTCGTTCTGAGAGGGCCGTTAAGGGTTCATTATACTCTTTCTAACCTTCTCCGTGACAGCATATTTTTCTCATACCCATGGTTTCTCGGCAGGCCCTTGGGGTATGTTATGTTTCCTTCTAGGGTTTCAGAGGATCATAAAATGGGGCCCCTCCCACAAGAAGCGCTTGCCCAAGCACTGCAAGACCTGCTAAGCCTCGTGCTTGATCTCAGACCTTATAGTGGTCCTTAGTGGGAATTGCGGAGTTTTGTTCCATATAATCCCTCAAAGGGTTATAGCGGGACATATTACAGCACCATCTGAGCCCTTACAGGGTCATGGAGGGGGAGATAAAGTACCTCATTCCCAAACTCCCCTTTCTCCGTCTGTTGAGTGGCAGGTGTGTCACGGCTTGGCCATTGAAACCCCTGCTTCCGGGGACGAAGCAGAGGACCGAAGTTTTTTTTTACATGTGTCGGTTCTGGGTTGAGGGTGGGTTCAGGGTTTAGGAAGGATGTGCAACTTCCTATTTGTGAGGGGAGGGGCGGTATCGTGACGGTTGTTCGTGATTGGCTTTGTGGCTTCAGGGCGGGTGGTGTTGCATGGCCCAATGAGCTGAGATTGGAGTTGGCGAAGGCGCTTTCGCCGAGACCCTGGACATACCCTGGGGTGCCTCAGTCCCTGCTCTTTTGTGCCACCCGGGGTTTTAGTACACTTCCTCACCCATCCTTCAACTCTCAGTACACTTAGATACTTCCATTTCTTGGCAACGAGCTCGTGTTGCGCCTGTGCCACTCTCGGCAGGCCGATGACTGCTGACTTTCAAGCTCCGAAGACGAGTGATTTAAAGCTCACGGCTTCCACTTCGGAGATTCTTCGGGTTTTAGGGTTTAGGGTTTAGGGTTTAGGGTTTAGGGAAACCCTCATATCTTCAACCAGGGAGCACAACAGCTGCGCACTCCCACCCTCAATGCTAGACCCTAAAGCGCCAGATTCCGATGGGATGCTGGACGAAACCTGGAAGGAACCGCAAGCTTTCACTTGGTGGTGCTGCCTCAGCGTCTTGACCCCCCAATTACAAGGAATGCTTGTCGGATGAAGACATTCAGACGAAAGAGCGACCCACACGATGTCGGGCCATGATTTGAAGGAAGAGCGACGGAGGTGAGAAATTTATACTGGCACTTGATCGAAAGCCCACCGGTAAAGGGGACCCTAAGCCCACCCCTACGCCCACCCTCAGAAACCTCGATTTTTCGCAGAAGCTCCCCGAGTTGTGGAAACCCTGAAAGCAGCCTCGGGTTGGGGCAGAAACTGCCCCCCCCGGAGAATCGGAGCAAGGAATCGTCGCCAGAATGGAGCTCCGCACACACCGGGGGTACTCTGAATCTTCTGGTTTAAGGAGTTTAGGGTTTGGGGTTTAGGATTTAGGGCGTAAATGCTTGCAGAGGGCAGAGGGTGCCGCACGCAGGTTTTTTTGAAGAGGCAGGGATTTTCTGCACCGGACTCATCGAGATTCTGCGCCCCATCTCCTATGTCAATGACATGTGGGTTAGGTGCTCTTGTGCTGCTCTACTTTGGCGACGATAGAGTTACGCCACTCCACACATACAAAATGTTTTGACGGTGGATGGGACAGAATGAAATAGACTCGCCCCAGGTGGGTGTTCCTGTTAGGTGTAGTTTCTCGTGCCAGGAATTCTACTGGGAACCGAATTGGGAACTTCATTCCCCTTCCTCAAGAACCAGTAAGTTACAACTCCGCTGAGGAGGGTTTTTGGGTAGAGTAGAGAGTGTGTCTCGTGGGCACGTGGGGGAGACTGTAAAGGTCAAGCAGTCGGTACTTAAATGCTTGGAGGTTCATGGTACTTATAATTGTACTTATAACCCACTTATCAGCCCCTTAAGTGCCCTAATATAGTTATAAGTACAGTCAAGAGTACAGTAAAAATTGGTTCATAAGTACCATGAACCTCCAAGTACCTTGTCCCCAAACCCCGCAAGCCAACACACCGTAAACCCCAACCTTCACCAATAATCCGGCAATTTCCGCCAAGCCGATCGCTGTCCCCATCCATCAGTAGACGAGGGTGATCGGCGCCAAGTGTGGGTAGAGGACCGCATGTCGTGAAGCCTTGCCGGGGGGGGGGGGGGGGGGTGGGCGGGCGTTGAACTCCGGAACGCGTCCTTGACTTCCCGAAACTTGGGGATTGAAGGGTTCGAAGGGTTTGAGGGGTTTGAGGGTACGAGTGTCTGGCCCTCCCCCCGCATGCTTGCCGGCAACGGTTCCCGCACCATGTTCCTCGCGCAGCTTGACAGTGGAGGGTAGGCCGAGGCCGGCTTAGAACCCGCTGGGTATCGCACACTGGCAGGCACTGCCCTCGTGCTCACTTGCATCTTCCAGTTGCATCCAAGTGTTGTGACTCACTTGGTTGGAATTCGCCTGCCCTGCTCTTGAAGAGGAGTAGGAGGGACAGCCTTTACAGCATGGGGGGGGGTACACCGTCCATCACTCACACATAGTCAGCCTTAGAAGCTCTTCCATCATATCTGGGGGGGGGGACGGATTGAAGAGAGAGACGAAGTGTCAGCTTAGGCCGGGAGCCCGAAACGCGGCCTATACAGTCGAAAGCAGCTCCTGAGCTGCCCCCCGGGCCTGCGAGAGAGCTTGGGAACCCATTCCTGGCCGCGGCCGTTTTGGGGGGCACAGAGAGGTAGTCCTGGAAACATCTTTGGTGAACCCTACAATTGTGATGTTCATGCTTTCTTCCGGTATCCAAAATGCAGCTAGTAGGGCCTACAACCCCCTATGTGATTTGTTCACCTTAGGGACTTTTTGGGAGTCTGATTGTGGTGGTTCCGGGTGAGAGCCCTAATTCAGCCCTCAGCGGCAACCCACAAAAGCACCCACCAAAAGCCTCGGCCAGCGTTTGGAAGCGTCTTAGAGGCGTGATCCCCCCAAGGCGCAAGATTTCAAGCGCCCGATCTCCTCGCGGGCCCCTGAAGCGCGAGACAAGCGGCTCCCAAAACAGGTGGACCTCTTAACCCTCAAATCCCTAAATCTTGTGATTCTAAACCTTTAACCTTAAGGCCCCAAACCCCTAAACCCCTCAATCCCTCAATCTCTGAAACAAGGAAGGCCCCTAATCCAGAGCTACTTGGGCGTGGAAGCCAGCGCGTCTTCGGAAACTTTGTGACCTGGGACCTCGGCACGCGAAGCTACTCGCTTGGCTCCGGCTCTAGGGTAGACAAGTGGTTTCTGGAAAGGTTTCGGGTTTACTGTAAGTTCTAGGTTTTTGGTCTTGGAAATTTGTGGTTGCGGGGTTTCGAGGCTGCCCCAGACCCCCGAAGGCTCGAAAGTGCTGCCGAAGAAGCTGTGAACCCCTAAACCCTAAACCCTAAACCCTAAACCCTAAACCGTAAACCCTAAACCCTAAACCCTAAACCCTAAACCCTAAACCTCTGCGCGCGCGCGGGGGGTCTCAGGGAAGCCGCGCAAGCCCGAGCTCAGCGCTTTCCCACCCGAAGACGCAGAAGCCAGAAACAGTGGACCAAGGCGACGCCCCCCGGGTTTAGGGTTTAGGGTTTAGGGGTTTAGGGTTTAGGGTTTAGGGTTTAGGGTTTAGGGTTTAGGGTTTAGGACCCCCCATTCAAGGGGCACATGTCCCAAGCATCCAGGTCAACCCTAAACCCGAAAACCCTGAACCCTAACCCCTAGATCCCAAACCCGAAGCCCTAAAGCCTGAAGTGTCGACCATCGCATGCGTTCATGCACGCTTCGGCTGTGTCTCTCCTCAGTTGCGAGAATCAGGAGGCCACGATAGCTACTTCATGCCCACATTGTGGAATTTAATTTACTGTACATCCATATTAGGGGGATTACGATATTCGGGGTACCTTCTTGGGGTGCCTATTAGAAGGGAATCCTATTGTTTGGGGGTCTTTTTTTGGGGGCCCCCCTTATTTTCGTAAACCCCCGCATACTGTGCAGACTCTTGAAAGCAAGAGACACTACTATAGATGCCATGGTGTCATCATCGTAAGCTAAGCTCGAAGCCGCAGCTCCCCAAAGCCAGCTTCCCGAAGATACGCAGAGCACCCCAGGAAGAGAGCCCCAAGACTCCGCATAACCCTAAACCCTAAACCCTAAACCCTAAACCCTAAACCCTAAACCCTAAACCCTAAACCCTAAACCCTAAACCCTAAACCCCTAAACCCTAAACCCTAAACCCTAAAAAGCAGCAGCAGAAGCAGAGGTGCCGAAGAAGAAGGGGGTCTCAGTACTGGAGATGTAAGGGAATGCCATGGACCAGGAGGCCTCCAGCAGGCGCTGGGAATACGGAGCAAACACCACAAACCCCCACAAGCCCTAAACCCAAAACCCCCCTTCAGAACCCCCCTAAGACCCTAAAACCCTAAAACCCTAAAACCCTAAAACCCTAAAACCCTAAAACCCTAAAACCCTAAAACCCTAAGACCCTAAAACCCTAAAACCCTAAAACCCTAAAACCCTAAAACCCTCAAACCCTCAAACCCTAAAACCCTAAAACCCTAAAACCCTAAAACCCTAAAACCCTAAGACCCTAAAACCCTAAAACCCTAAAACCCTCAAACCCTCAAACCCTAAAACCCTAAATCCCTAAAACCCTAAAACCCTAAAACCCTCAAACCCTAAAACCCTCAAACCCTCAAACCCTAAAACCCTAAAACCCTAAAACCCTCCTCAGAACCCCGCCCAACAGGGGCCAAGTCGCCTCGCGCACGCCGCGGGGGCGTGGCCAGCCGCGCTTGGGTTGGGACCCCAAGGTGTCAAGTCGGGAGTTTCACTGGCTACTTATCAGCCACGGTTTGGGGTTCAGGGTTTAGGGTTTAGGGTTTAGGGTTTAGGGTTTAGGGTTTAGGGTTTAGGGTAAACAGGTAAAGAGGGTTAAATGTCGGGTTATAAGTAGGGTATCTGTGGTTGCCTCTTTGTTTTTTAGGGGGGTACTTGTAAATCGGGCTCCAAGTCGGCAATCTCTGGTTACAGCCATTTTGGGGGGGGGTACCCCCATGAGCCTTCCAAGAATCACCAGGGGAGCCTGAGGCGCCTACGGTGCCCCCAATGCCGATGCTTCTCGAAACCCTGAGCCCGCTTAAGGTGATCCCCCAAAATCCGTCAGCCCGAAGCGCAGAGCCCCAACAGCCCGAAACAGCCCGAACCAGCCCCAAACAGCCCCAAACAGCCATAAACCCGAAACCCTAAACCCTAAACCTTAAACCCTAAACCCTAAACCCTAAACCCGTAATCCCTAAAACAGCCCTAAAACCCCTAAGCCCTGATCCCAAAAAACCCCCCTTGTGTCCGAGTTCTCTGAGGTGACTGGCCCGGGGTGCACGTGGCCCACGGCGACGAGCAGTGGACGCTTGGCCTCCAGGCACCCCCCCTTTTTTTTTTTTGTTTTTATTTTTTTGTGGTTTTTGTGGTTTTTAGGGTTTTTAGGGTTTTTAGGGGTTTTAGGGTTTTTAGGGGGGTTTAGGGTTTGAGCGGTTTCGGGGTTTAGGGTTTGAGGCTTAGGGTTAGGGTCATGGGTTCGTGCTTGGGGCTACCGGGGTTAAGATTGGGTGCCCTGTTGCGGGGACAGGTAAGATCCAAACATATTCCCCACAACCCACTCTTTTTTGCCCCTATTCTTGCCATTGCTTTTGCCCCTTATGAAGGGCTCTAACAAGTGAGTCTGCATCAAGAGCTGTGACCCAAGTGACACCGTGGTGGCTCGGCACAAAGCATGCAAGCGCTAGCACGGCGCGTACGAAGATGTCCCAAGATCACGGGTGCTTCGGAGATTTACCGCAGGGCAAACATCGTGTTCCATAGACCAACCTCCTTCCAGCCTCCTTCCCCCCCCCTCATGAGCTGTACGCATGATTATGGAAGCCCCACCCAGAGCTGGTAAGCCACAAGCTCCCAAAGAACAGCTCCTTTGACACCTCTTCCGGTCTGAAACCACAAGCCCTTTTCGACCCACAGGGCATACGCCCTAAAGCCCTCCTACACCCATAGTCCCGAAGCCCTCCCACCTTAGCCAACAACTTGAGGAGTTCCGAAAACAGGGCTGCCCCCAAAACATACCCCCAAAGTACTAGAATCCTTCAAAAGGTGCCCCAAAAAGGGAAACCCCCCTATTTTCGGAAACCCCCACTTGAGTTGCTTCTTGCGCTCCGAAAAATTTTCCCTCCCTCGTCGTGCATGGCCATGGGGCGGTCGTACTTTGAGAGCGCCGAGGCAGGCAACAGTCGTGTGGGCTGAGGGCTTGGGAGGTTTACTTGTGTAAGCGGTGTACTTCGAGATCTCACCGGGGTTTCGAGTCTTTTTGGGTCTTGTGATGTGGTGGCAGAGACCTGAGGCGTTCCTGGCTGTACCGGGCCCTCGAACAACCTGAGCGGGGGCGGATGGAGTGAGCTGTGGAGACCTGGCAGGATTATGCGGCCTGGATGCGGAACCCTAGCAGAGTCGTGCACGTCGAGTGGCGCAAGGCCGGTGCTTGTTTTGTGGATTCGGGTTTGGGGTTTGGGGGAGCACGGGCGCTCAGAGTGGGATTAGGATAAACCCTAACATAGCAGAGTTTAGGGTCGAGGGCTTGGAGGCTTTGTCAGGCTTAGGACTGTTTGAAAGCTTGCGGGATGACTTTTGAGATTTTTAAGGTCTCGGGTTGAGATGGGGTTGTGAGGGCTTATGGATTGACAGGCTGTAAGGTTTAGGAGTTCAGTGTCTTCAAAGGGGCTCGGGACGCTTCGAGATCTGTGCTTAGGTTGTTGCCTCCTGGGGGTATGGTCGAGGGGCTCGGGAATACTTCGGTCGAAAGTTCTGAACTCTGACTACAATTGGGATTATCGTACCTCCCATTATAAAAAACCTACCAAGGACTGTTAGTATAAAGGGGGAACTAAACCCTAAACCCCTAACCCCTAAACCCTAAACCCTAAACCCCTAACCCCTAAACCCTAAACCCTAAACCCTAAACCCTAAACCCTAAACCCTAAACCCTCAAAACCTGTCTTCGAAGGTGCGCCATGAGAAAAGCCGAGGCTTGACGTCGCACTCGTGGCTCGAGGCCAGGGAAACTCCCACCTCAGCTCCCCTCGGGCTTGGAGGGGGGGGGGGGGGGGGGGGGAATTTGTTTTTTTTTTTTTTTTTTTTTGGGGGGGGGGGGGGGGGGGGGGGGGGGGGTTGGCGTTTTGGGGGTTTCGTGGTTTAGGGGGGTTTAGGGGTTAGGGACCCTAAGCCCTTGTCATTTTCGTGTTTTTTTTTTTGGAAGGGGGGCGGGGGGGGGGTTTTGGGCTGTCTTTTTGGAAGGGTTTAGGGCGTTCAGGGCTGTTCAGGGGCTTGGGAAAATCGCAGCTGCGAAGCCATTGCCAGGATCCTAGCGGCGCAAGGGTTTAGGTTGTTTTAGGGTTTGTAGGATTTTGATATGGGCTTTTAAAGGGTGTTTGTAGGGTTCATAGGGTTTCTTATTTTCGTATAGGTTTGTTTAGGGGGTCATTATACTTTGGGGTTTATAGGTTGTTTATAGGTTTGGGTTTCTTATCTTTTTGTTGGATGTTTCTGGGTTCGTAATTAAGGCTTTATGGGTTTGTATGGGGTGTTTAGGTTTCTTACAGGTTTGTCTAGGGTTTATCGGGTTTGTAGGGTTTACCCAAATGAACCTCCAAGGAATTCAGGCTTGGGGTTGGTGGATGTCCTGAGGGGCAGAAGCTTCTCTCAATCGCCCAGAGCGGTCATATGGTAGATGGTCGTACATTGTGTCTGGTATGTATGTATATATGTAAGCATAAGAATGCACATGTAGTATAGCAGTATATGCAAACACACACATATGCATGTAGATGTATATTTTTTCATGAGAGAATTGGAGTGTTGCTTGTTATGGGAGCTTCCTTGAGTTGCCAGGCCTGCTTGCTGGACGGAAGAAGGCTGCGCCTCGAGATCTACGCCGATCAAGGCGGCAGATGGAGTCAGGGCGTTCCGGTGCCAGGGATTTAGGTGTAGGGTTGAGGGTTTAGGGGTTTACGGTTTAGGCTTAGGGTTTAGGGTTTAGGGTTTAGGGTTTAGGGTTTAGGGTTTAGGGTTTAGGGTTTAGGGTTTAGGGTTTAGGGTTTAGGGTTTAGGGTTTAGGGTTTAGGGCTTAGAGTTGAGGGGTCCGTGAGAGGAGTCTTCTGGATCACCTTTGACATTGGGCTGTAAGTCCCTTATTTTTTCTCTTCTTTTCCCTCTCCCTCTCTCTCTCTCTCGTGCTCTCTCCCTCTTTTGTATGTTGTTTGTGTGTGTGTGGGTCTGCTTGCAGCGATCGTCGCGCGGCGGCGTGGGCAGAGAATCAGTATAAGTATAAGTAGTATAAGTATAAGTATAAGCATAAGTATAAGTATAAGCACAAGTATAAGCACAAGTATAAGTATAAGTATAAGTATAAGTATAAGTATAAGTATAAGTATAAGTATAAGTATAAGTATAAGTCTAAGTAGTATAAGTGAGCAATGGAACACGTGAGCTTTGCTAGCTATGTTGCACTTATGGGCAGTACATGTGATAAGCTATATGCATTCTGGTGGTCAGGCGTAGGCCTCCAACATTCATGGCTCTTTTGGGCAGTAGGGACACGCGAGGCTACACAGAGCTGCACTACGATCCGGCCAACAAGTCCGTTGGAAGCCGTTTCTTCGATCCGCAGAGTACGCTCTATGACGGACGGGCCGCAGATAGCCAGGACCTGGCCACTCGGCAAGTGCTGTGGCAACTTTGGGTGTTGGCGACGTTGCAGCGCCTCATGTGTAGCAGGATGTTGGGCGGTTTATACCTCTCAACTTCCTGGTTCTTCGTGGGAAACTACGGGGTCTGAGGTACCCAATATAAGGCTTCAGGGCTCGGTAAAGGTGCATCGATAAGAAGCTACCGAGTTCCCGAATTCTGGACTAAGAACGAACCTGAGAGTTCGCCTCCATACAAAAGTTGTATTTTGGGTACTTTGCACTACCCTTAAAGCTCTTTCGGGATTATGTCCCTTAAACTCTAAATCCTAAACCCTCAACCCTCAACCCTCAACCCTAGTCGAACTTAGGCTTCTGTATCGCACCGCGGACAGTCGAGCCCCTCTCTGCCCTGACCAAACCACAAGCGCCAACCCCAAAAGCCGAGAATACAAACGCCAAAGCCCTGCAAACCCAGCAGCAACCCGACAAAAACCCTTCACAATCCCTATGTCAACCCTATAAACCCCATCAACAACCCTATGAAAAAAACACCCAAGAGAACCGATAAACCCTGAGCCCTACGAGCTCCCCCCAGTCTCCTTCACGAAGGCGAGGCCCTTGACGGCGGAGACCTTGACTCGCGAGGCAAAAGACCTGGCGAGGACGCCGTACTCCCTCAGCGCCTTGCATTCACCGGGGGCGGGGGGGGGGGGGTCTATAGGGTTTTGGGGCCTTGGGGTGTTTGGGTGTTGTTTTTTTCTTCTTTTTTGAATCGGGCCTTAGGGTCAGGGGTTTGGGTTGTCAGGGTCTTTGCGTTAGTCCCCCAAGATTCGGTGCCCTCTTCTTTGGACCAGAACTTAGAGAGAAGCTGCCTGCAGTTCTGGAGGGCATCAAAGCACATGCGCCATCGATGTTGAGGGGGGAGGGGGGGGGGCTCATACCATATCGGTACGGAACCGAGAAACCGAGAAATTGAGGGGCTCAGTCTTTGGAAGCCTTCTGGGTCGGATGCTCCGGCAGACCTGAGGGTTCTTGTTGGGGTCATACAGGTAGCCACAAGCTCGCGTGCTTATGTCGGGGGCGGGAGGAAGGGGGAGGGGGAAGGGGAAGTCTCCCATCCCAGAGCGCTTCGGAGATTCCAAGCCTGTGTTCTCCCGAACAGAAGAAGCCCTCCCTGGATCTCCCACTTTAAGAAAGGTAGAATCCTGTCCCTTCATTCCTGAGGCGAGTTCAACTGCCACCACTTCGTGCTGGAGCTTTGGTGCCTTTGCTCCAAGCAGGGCCCTTCAAACCCTAAGCGCGAAACCCTAAACCCTAAACCCAAAACCCAAAACCCAAAACCCTCAACCCTCAACCCTAAACCCTAAACCCAAAACCCTAAACCCTAAACCCTAAACCCTCAACCCTAAACCCTAAACCCTCAACCCTCAACCCTAAACCCTAAACCCTAAACCCTAAACCCTAAACCCTAAACCCTAAACCCTAAACCCTAAACCCTAAACCCTAAACCCTAAACCAGACCCTAAACCTTAAACCCCAAACGAACAAAGGGTGGTCCAAACAGCGCAGCCCCGCCCAGGAACAGCATGGTCGTGGACAGTCTCAAGTCCCAGCACTACCCAGCAGCTCGGAACTTGGGTTTAGGGTTTAGGGTTTAGGGTTTAGGGTTCAGGGTTTAGGGTTTAGGGGG